CACTGGTGGACCACAAGACCTAAAATAAATTCCATAGCCAGGGGTGCATGCCACCGTGGGAGGAGAGGGAGAGAAGGAAAGAAGGAAGGTGATGCCAACATGTTGTCCTCACCAGCCCTTTCTCGGCCTTGGGAGGCTTCCCAGGCCAGGATGAGAAGACATACCTGGCAACGTGTGTGAGAGCGCGAGAGAGGAGATGGAACACTAGCTTTTTAACACTAGTGCTAACAAAATCCATTAATTAGAACACAGCCCACCCAAAAAAACATTTTTTTTCTTGTCTCCATTTTCAGGACTGTTCACGGGGTTATTTGGGGCGCTGATTCAGAAATTTGCATTAGATAGACCACCTCAGCTCTAGTTTATTATTTATTTATTTATTTACTTACTTACTTACTTACTTATATACCACTGTTCTCAGCCCGAAGGCGACTCACAGCGGTTCACAACAAATAAGAACAGCAAAAATTCAATGCTACAGTGTAAAAACAGTTAACAACCTAACATATTACATAATTAATAAACAATTACTACAATAACCATTCACTATTCACTATCGTCTCATCATCAAAAACATGATCCAGATTCGTCATCCATTATTCTGTTCCAATGTTCATTAACCAATCATTGCACTAATTATTCGAATGCCTGCTCAAACAGCCAGGTCTTCACTTTCCTGCAGAATACCATTAGAGATGGTGCTAGTCTAATGTCCGTAGGAAGGGCGTTCCACAGCCGAGGGCCACCACAGAGAAGGCCCTGTCCCTCGTCCCCGCCAGCCGTGCTTGTGATGCAAGAGGGATCGAGAGCAGGGCCTCCCGAGAAGATCTTAGAGTCCTGGTGGGTTCGTAGGCAGAGATACGTTCGGATAGGTAGCTTGGGCCCGAACCGTTTAGGGCTTTATAGGCCAAAGCCAGCACTTTGAATTGAGCCTGGTAGCAAATCGGCAGCAAATCGGCATTAATTCACTATCTTAAGCAGATGGTGACTACTGGATGGAGCATGTTCTGTATCAGAAACTAGAGCTGATGTGGTCTATCCAATACAATTTTCTGAATCGGCACCCCAAATAACCAAACTGAATCTAAAGTTGACCAAAAACTGATTCGTAACTTTTTTAGTACTAATATTGGATAGTGGTCCCTGGTCAAAAAAAAAAAAAAAGGTTGGGAGACACTTCTCTAAACCAATTTACTCAAACTGCGCTCCTCTGGGTGTTTTGGACTTCAGCTCACACAGTGGGATTTATGGGAGCTGAAGTCCAAAATATCAGAGGAGTACAGTTTGAGAAACTGCTCAGTCCAAATTAGATGACTTTGTTGTGCAGCAACCCCTCCTGCTCTAGTTAGAGATCCTGCATGTAGTAGGGGAGTTGGGTTTGATGACCCATAGGACACTCTTCAACACTGTGTTTCCTTGAAATCTGAATTTTATGAAGAAGACTAAGGGCCCTTCCACACAGCCCTATATCCCAGAATATCAAGGCAGAAAACCCCACATTATCTCTGTGTGGACTCAGATAACTCAGTTCAAAGCAGATATTTTGGGATTTTCTACCTTGATATTCTGGGATATTGGGCTGCGTGGAAGGGCTCTAATTTGCAAGACCCGACAAGCACCCGTGCTGAAAGTTCTGTGGTCCTTTTCTTACAGCACTTAACATGTGAAAGCACCCAGCCCTGTCAAGCCTATTCTTTTGTTTCTTTAAGTGTACTTGTGTGCATTGGTCGCTGGCACTGAGCTTTGTGTTCCATCTTAAGGGAGGGGTACTTTTGTAGCCGTTCTGCCTTGCAGGCAAACCACATAATTGAAGATATTCAGTTGTTTGAAAAACTGCTGAGTAATTATGAATAATTGAGGGTAACTCCCTTTTGTTCAATATTTTAATTGTACAAAGGTTAGTGTATCTAATCAGTTGGTATCAGTTACTTGAGTAAGAGTGATTAGAGACTTGGAAATGTGGAAAGCATAACTTCAGAGGCCATATGTAGCTTATATTTCTATTGATCCAGTTGCTCGTTACCTTTGGCGGTTATAACTTAAGCATGCATTTGGAGACGTTTGTACAAAAGTTTTATTTTCTTGGGTTGTTGTGAGTTTTCTGGGCTGTATGGCTATGTTCCAGAAGCATTCTCTCCTGATGTTTCACCTGCATCTGTGGCAGGCATGCTCAGAGGCTATGAAGATGCCTGCCATAGATGCAGGTGAAACATCAGAAGAGAATGCTTCCGGAACATGGCCATAAAGCCCAGAAAACACAACAACCCAATGATTCCTGCCATGAAAGCCTTCAACAATTTTATTTTCTTACCTCTTATTTCTTAATACGAAATTAGGAGTATCTACAAGAGCAGTCCAGGCCGCTATATCCACATGGGATAGATTATTGAATTTAGTATAGTTGGACCGGGTTGTGGCACAGCTGGTTGAGAGCCAGCTGCATTAAAATCACTACTGACCGAAAGGTCAAGAGTTTGAAGCCAGCCCAGGTCTAGCTTGCTGTTGACCTTTGCAGCTCAAAAGACAGTTGCATCTGTCAAGTAGGAAATTTAGGTACCGCTTATGCGGGGAGGCTAATTTAACTAATTTATGACACCATAAAAATCTTTTGCAGTGTGCAAAAGAATGAGGAAGTACTCCATCAGTGTCACAAGTGGGTGGTAAGCGACAGCTCACCCGGTGGCTGGAATTTGGGGGGAGATCATCTGGGGAGGCCCTGCTATCGACCCCACCACTCTCACAAGTGAGGCCGGTGGGGACGAGGAGCAGGGCTTTCTCAGTGGTGGCCCCTCACCTGTGGAACACACTCCCGGGGGAAATCAGGGCATCATCATCCCTCCTCGCCTTTAGGAGAAGGGTGAAGACTTGGTTATGGGACCAGGCCTTTGGGCACTCTGGCAATTAAATCAGACAACCAGGCGAGTAAGACCAGCAGGATTGATGAAGTGGAACGTAAAACTAGATCTATGAGTAGCGAACGCTGACCATGTAAGAGGAGAAATTGGGTTTGTATTTGGTTTTATTGATTTTATTGATTTTATGGTTATAATGTATATTTGGTGTTAACTGTGTATTGATGTAATTTTGTGTTTGATTGTTTTTATGATGCAGGCATCGAATTGTGCCTTCGCCTCTGTAAGCCGCCCTGAGTCCCCTTCGGGGTGAGAAGGGCGGGGTAGAAGAACCCCAAATAAATAAATAAATAAATAAATAAATTTGAAGCATAACCTCATGAAGCTGGAAAGTTCAATAGCCTCTGTGTGTCTGTCTATGTTGTGTGTCTATGGCATTGAATGTTTGCCATGCATATGTGCATGTGATCCGCCCTGAGGGTGAGAAGGGCGGAATATAAATACTGTAAATAAATAAAAGAGGAAACTATGAATAATAGCAAATCCTATTGAACTGAACAAATTCTGGCAGAAGTAATCAAAGCATTGTGCCTGAGGACCTAGGAAATTCCTAGAAATGTATCTTCTCTAGTTATTTACTAGACCCTCTAGTGTGATTCTGGCAGATGTGTATCATACTACTTCATCACACTAGAGAATGAATCCACTTTAAATCCTGTTGCTGCCTCCTGCAGAATTCTGCAGAATTCTGGGGTTTGTAGAGCCCTTAACAGCCTCACTAAACTACAAACCCCAGAATTCTAAAGAAGGCAGAAACCGTATTTAAATTGGATTAATTCTCTAGTGTGATGAATTAAATAGACTCATCTGGAGAGCGTAAAAAGGTGCTAGGGAGGTCATACATTATACTTACTTAGGTGATCCCTCCTTGTCCAAGTAGGATTGTCTTCCAAGATCGGTGTACTGGCAGTGGGTCCGTAGGTGACTGTGGAGCCCTAGTCTTGATCTGCATCTTCTCCCACAGTAAGGGCATTGGTTTCCAGGTGGAAGGCGGTCCCGGTTGGGGTTGGCTTGACACGCATTTTTCGTGGCACGTTTCTCTCTTTCGCCCTCCATTTGTGCCTCTTCAAATTCTATAGCACTGCTGGTCACAGCTGACCTCCAGCTGGAGCGCTCAAGGGCCAGGGCTTCCCAGTTCTCAGTGTCTATGCCAGAGTTTTTAAGATTGGCTTTGAGCCCATCTTTAAATCTCTTTCCTGCCCACCAACATTCCGTTTTCCGTTCTTGAGTTTTGACTAGAGCAACTACTTTGGGAGATTTGACACCATAAAAATCTTTTGCAGTGTGCAAAAGAATGAGGAAGTACTTTTGCACAGTACGGGCATCTGGACAATGTGGTCAGTCCAGTGGAGTTGATGGCGGAGAACCATCACTTCAATGCTGGTGGTCTTTGCTTTTTCCCGCACATAGACATTTGTCCGCTTGTCTTCCCAAGAGATTTGCAGGATTTTTCGGAGGCAACGCTGATGGAATCGTTCTAGGAGTTGATTGTCACGTCTGTATATAGTCCACATCTCGCAGGCATATAGCAGGGTTGGGAGGACAATAGCTTTATAAACAAGCACCTTTGTATCCCTACGGATGTCCTGGTCCTCAAAAACTCTGTGCTTCATTCGGAAAAATGCTGCACTCAGAGAGCTCAGGCGGTGTTGTATTTCATACATTATATAGGTAGGTGATACCAGAGAGTGCAGTCTTGTGGATATAAGGATCATACTGTAATGTACTGAGTTTGTTTTGATGGTACCAGCAAATTAACAACCACAAATGCCTTTGCAAACAGGACCATGAGTAACAGGAAGACACTGTTCCAAGGAGTAACTGTTCAAGATCTGCAAACATGGCTCTGAAAAAGAGTGATGATCTTCGAATATTAGACATAAGACTCTTGGGGGCAAATCTGTGTTTCTGCAGATAGCACTGTATTGGATCAGGAGGAATATATATTTTGAAGGCAGGGGAAAAAAATGAACAGCTCTTGAAAACTCCGGGGCATCCAAATCATTTCTGATCTTTTGTTTTGCTGATTTGGACTTGTAGTGATTGAAAAGAACAGCAGGTGGCATCAAATAATTCATACTGTATATATAAAGAGAGACAGAGAGAGCGGACTCACAACTTCCTTGCCAGAAGTGAATAAAGAAGAGGAAGAAAGCAGCTGCCTGCAAGACAGAACTTTACCAACCCTTACAGACAAGGTGAGTCGAAGAATCAAGGAATATGGATGACTTGAACTGAGAAGCATATCTCGTTTTCTCTTTTCATGCAGCCTTTCAGTTCCTTGAATATGGTTTTTTTGTTGTTGTTATTCCAAAGATCCTGAGTTTAAGCTTTTGTTACAGAGGGGATTCTTGGTTGAAAAACTTGCTTGTGCAGGAAATGCCTGACAGATTCCTCCTCGAAGTTACTTATCTTCTTGCAGAGTCTGGAATATATTTGCACCTTCTTATTTCTGAACCGGTTCCTTCCAGCAGTTGAGAAGGAAGCAGCTGTGTTGCATTACGCAGTCTATGTTTTTAACCCTTGTTGGTAACTTCTAAGTTAATTGATCTGTGCAGGTCTGAATTGTTTAAACCTTATTTGTCTTGTAATTACTCTCCTCCATCATCCTGTGTTTTTACTCAATGATTCGTTTAGGAAAGTACACAGGGAATGAATGATCACCAACTTGTTTTTGAAAGTAGTTGCACTAGAAGAAAAACAAAGAGGCTCTTGTTGTCGCACAGAATTTTGACCTGGATTCTCAAGGAAATTAAACTACCTCATCACACTAGAGAATGAATCTACTTTAAATCTGGTTTCTGCCTCCTGCAGAGTTCTGGGGTTTGTAGTTTAGTGAGCCTGTTGAAGGATCCTCTCTAAACTACAAACTCCAGAATTCTGCAGGAGACAGCGAGCAGATTTAAAGTGGATTCATTCACTAGTGTGATGAGGTCCAAAGGCTTGTGTTGTGTTCAGTTTCAAAAGAAACAAAGAGAACAATTTTGATAGGTGACAATAACAGTAGATACCTGGCAAAGCAACTTTACAATTTTCATGCTTACCTAAGAGAGAATTATGAAGACTTATTCTGCCTCCCTGTAGCTCAGGCATGAGTGAACTTCGGCCCTCCAGGTGTTTTGGACTTCAACTCCCACAATTCCTAACAGCCGGTAGGATTTGTGGGAGTTGAAGTCCAAAACACCTGGAGGGCCGAAGTTTGCCCATGCCTGCAGTAGCCCAATTGTACATTCATTTATTCAGGAATAGCTCCTACTGAGCAGAGTGGGACTTACTCTTAAATATCTACTAGTGAACATCCTATACTGTTCTGTGCATAGTTAGGAGTAAATTCAACATAAATGAATAGGATTATTTGATTGTTAGAGGAGTTAGATTCCGGAGTGGCTGCTAATACCTTCTGACCGATCAGTGTGTCAAAATATTCAGTCCCCCTTGAACTGTTGATAGGCATGACTACTTAGACATCAATTCTGTAATCTCTAGAAAACTTCCAATTTTAGCAACTAAATATAGGAAATCCAGAATGCTCCAAAATCCAATGGTTGGCTGTGAGAGTGAGACCTTTCTGATGGTTCAGTGTACCCAAACTTTGTGTCATGCTCAAAATTATTTAAAATACTGTGCATTAAATTACCAAGCCAATCTTGTTTTGATCTGCTTTAAGAAACTGTGCTTGTCGACTCAGGGCCCTTCTACACAGCCCTATATCCCAGAATATCAAGGCAGAAAATCCCACATTATCTGAGTGTGATAACCCAGTTTAAAGTAGATATTGTGGGATTTCTTGCCTTGATATTCTGGGATATATGTCTGTGTGGAAGGGCCCTCAATAGTGTTAAGCACTGATAAAACACATCTTATTTGGGGCCAGCGATAAAACACAGCTCATCTTGGGGGTTTACATTTAAGCAATCTTTATGTGATCCATCTGAGTATTATTTGCCTGATGTTGTGGATCACTGACTTTGTTGAAAAGATTTCAGTTATGTACAGTGCAGTGCCATATTTTTTCTGTCAATAGTCTGTGTTCTAGAGTCAATATTGAATATTATACCTCCTTGCCAGTGTATGCTATTGTGGTGAGAACAGGCATTACAGCATTGCCTTTTTCATATTGCTGTGTCATGGTGAATTGCATGTGCTGGTTTCATACAATGATAGTACTTGTCTTTAAAAATAATGGATAGAAATGTTTCCTTTTACCAGCTCCATATTTTATTAGAATCAACTAATAGTCTTATTAAAAACGGCAATCTGCCAACCTTTTAGTTGGCGTGTACTCGATGCTATGAATTGTGTTCTTGTGCCTGATATCAGCCTTTTTGAAATACCTCAATACCTCTGAGGATGCTTGCCATAGATGCAGGCGAAACGTCAGGAGAGAATGCCTCTAGATCATGGCCATATAGCCCGAAAAAACCTACAACAACCCTTTTTGAAATTGTTTACATTGTAGTCCTGACCTCACCTACCAGAGAATAACCCCCATTGAACTTGATGAGGTGTATTTGTGAACAGACATAAAAGTTTGTACAGTGTTCCTGCGCTACTTCGCGGTTCACTTTTAGTGGACTTGCTGTTTTGTGGGTTTTTGAAAATATTAATAAAAAATATAAAATACTTACATCCAGTGGAGGCCAGAGACCCCGGAATTGCGGCGGCCCGAGGTGCAGCGGGGAAGGTCTACTTCCCTGGCCTGTTGCTTCCCGTGTGGCTCCTGAGGTTCTGCTGGGGTCTGCGGAGGCCAGGGAGGCAGGCAGGTGCCCTTGGGATGGGCCGGGAGGTGGATAAGGAAATGCGGGTAAGAAAATAATATATAAAATAATGTATGAATATTAAAATTAATATGGCATCCCTACTTCGTGGATTTGTATTTATTGCGGGTGGTCCTGGAACTGAACCTCCGCAATAAGTGAGGGAACACTGTATTGCCAAATTGTTTGGCAGAGTCTTGAAGTTGGAATCGCAGTGGGAATTGTTTCTAATTTTTTTAAAAAGCAGTGCTAAGGGGAACATAACTAGAGACAGTAGGTATATTTCATTACGACAGCTTATACAGTACAGCTCCCCATTTTTTGTGTCAGGAGCAACTTGAGAAAGTGCAAGTCGCTTCTGGAGTGAGAGAATTGGCCATCTGCAGGGACGTTGCCCAGCGGACACCTGGATGTTTTTATGTTTTACCCTCCTGGTGGAAGGCTTCTCTCATGTCCCCACATAGGGAGCTGGAGCTTACAGGGGGAGCTCATCCTGCTCTGCCCGGATTCAAACCTCCAACCTGTCAGTTTTCAGTCCTGCTGGCACAAGGGTTTAACCCATTGTGCCACCGGAGGCTGCTAGTATAGCCCCGGTAGCCACAGGAAATGTGGGTTCAAGACCCAACATGCAAAATAGTACCCAATATTTTGAGTATGCCTAAGCAGATTATAGAATTGCATTGGAGAACCTAGAAAGGCCCACAGATACCTATGAGGGAGGTATGTTTTATAGCCTGGGTAAATGAAAYTGCATATCAAATGCATGGATAAGGGATTGTATTGTATTCTAACTCAAGTCCTGTGTATAGGTGTTACATGCTTGTAACACTTATACATGCCAATTTTAGTTCTGTGCAAAGGACTTTCCCCACTCTTTAAAATGGCAATACTGAAGTGAGAGAAATCACCTGTGCACATTTTTGCCTTAATAAGAAAGGAGATGTGTTGGATTGCAACAAGCCATTCCTGAGCATGTTAAGAAGTGAGGATCATGGGAAGTGGCATCCAACACATTTGGAGTACTATCAGATTGGAGAAGACTGATCAAGTCCAAGAAATAAAGTGGCCGCCCTAGAAATTTAGGAACAGGGTTTAAAGGATTTATTTCCATTACACATCCCYACCCCCCTACCCCAAAATTAAATCTTGGTGTCTTAGTTTTTAGGTCTCMTCCTGGGATTATTTGGGCCACTGATTAAGATATTTGCATTTGATAGACAACATCAGCTCTAGTTTCTTAGAGATGGTTATCATGGTTTTCTGTGGACAAGCAGATGGCAACATATATATGGCATATGTTCTAAAGCTAATAGGGGAAAACTGGTGGTATTTTTGGAATCAGCTGGTCAAAACATACCCAGAAACAGGTCTAATACTTGAGACACCAAAATGTGTGTTGGCCAGTGTTATTTTAACCAAGTGTGCTTGGATTACAGAATGGTAATAGTGTCCGTGCCATTTAGCTGGTGATAGATCTCACATTCATGAAATTCTCTATCCTTTTACCTCAAATCAATTACATCAAATGAAATACATCTCCCTCCCAAAACTCCACTCTGTTGGAGAACACACAACCTTGCTGACCCATTTATAATGCTCAGTGTTGCTGTTTAATCACTCAGGCAGTAGACGATGGTGCGTGCAAAGACCTGGATCCTGAGGAAGCACTTTGAGGGGTTTCCTAAGCATAGTGATTTCGAACTGAAAGAGACAGAATTGCCACCGCTGAAAGATGGAGGTAAGAGAAATAATGTCTTATGGTTTTTGCTTTTTTACTCCAAAGATTTGTTAGAGTCAGTCAAACAGCTGAGTCCACTGGTTCTTGACCCTTAAATTTAAAAAGCTTCTCAATGTGAAATCTATGTGGAATCTCATTGTATAAACAATGATTTCCAAACTTTGTGCCTTACTCTTCCAGAATTCTTGGTGTTGAGTTGCATGAGCCCTGGAGGACCATAGATGATAGTCACTGGTTTTGTTTTTTTTTTTTTTTGGGGGGGGGGGGGTCACATCAATTGAATATACTTGAACCTGTTCTTGAGGCATCCAGTGAGATTTCCTAATCAGTAAACAAGTCTAGAATTGTTGCTTAATCATTTCTTTAACATCTAATCAAAGATTTGCCAAATGCTACCCAGTACAATGGAGTGTTGAAAATGACTTTTGAGTTGGGTGTGTTTGAAATGCCAAACAGGCATCGACAGTTATTGACTTGTCTGAATTGGATCAGAAGCCCAGCAGGTAAGCTTGTCCTAAGGTGCACTTGAGTATAATAGAGGATTATCACTGGTTTGGTGCAGTGATTTGAATGACTACAATTCTATAGATTTGAATTCCTGCTCTCTCATGGAAACCAACAGGGTGACTTTGGCAAACACATATCCTCTCAGCCTTAAAAGAGGACAAAAGACAAAAAACTCTTTGAACAAATCTTGCCAAGAAAACACCATGATAGGTTCACCTTGGGTTCGCCATAAGTCTAAAAGCAACAATCACTGAGGACTAACTGGCTTAGCTTTTGCTTGTCCACACTAAAACTGTGATCCTATAAGAGCTACTTTCTTCGGTGCTTTCAAATATTGGATGGTTGAGCTGCAGAGCAGCTGTGTACATGGAATTATTTCTTGTACTCTTTCAGCTTTTGACTGAACTTGAAAAAGTTTTTGGGACATTGTATGTGTCTGTGCCTTCAGGTTGCCTGTTGACTTATGGTGATCTTATGCAATCCATTTTGTATCAAAAAAATTCTCAGAGGTAATTTTGCCAGTTCTTTCCTCTAAAATATAATCTACAGCAGGGGTCCTCAAACTTTTTAAACAGAGGGCCAGGTCACAGTCCATCAATCTGGTCTTGCCTAGTGAGCTCCCCTCCAAGTACTAATAAGGGCTGTGGCCCTGCTTAGCCTCCAATCATAGTTGGGAACTGGTGCCTTTAGGATATTCTTGCAGCTCTCTAAATCCCTCACCAAGCATGGCCAAGGAATATATGAATATTAAAATAGGAACGTTAAAAAGTAGAATTTATTAGTGTGAAGAAAAAATGTATTTTTTTCTAGACTTGTCAGGAAAAATTATATAGATGTAACTTTCCCCCTTTTCACATCTGTTGTAATAAGAGTGTATCAATTCTTCGTAATCACCCTCATATAGTACATCCTGTTTTATCCTTGACGTTGTAACATCTGGCCAAAGTTACCATAGGTTCACTTGGAGGACCTAGAAAATTCCTAGAGATGACATATTAAGAAGAAAAACACATTGTAACTGAGTCCAGATAAGACAGAGATGCTAGTCATTAAGGGACCTAATCTGGAGACGGTTACATTCCCCTTAAAAGACTGTGTCCATAGCTTGGGGGTGCTCTTGGATATGTTTCTCCAAGTTCCAGTTCAGATAAATGCAATCATTAGAAGTCCTATAAATAGCACCGCACACACTAATAACTTCAAGGTTCGACTTCTGCAATGCACTTCACATTGGACAACCTCTGTACCAGTTTCAGAAACTCCAGTTAGTTCAAAACATGGCAGCCAGATTGGTTACAGGAACATCTAGGAGTGAGCATATCACCCCTATCTTGAAGTCACTCAACTGGTTGCCTATTAGTTTCCAGGCAAAGTACAAAGTATTGGTTTTGATCTTTAAAGCTCTACCTGGTTTGGGTCAAAGAGATCGGCTTCTCCTGTACAATCTGCCCCGGACACTGAGGTTCTCTTGGGGATGTTTATTCCAATCAGCCAGAACCTGACCGTCACCTGGAGGACCTTTTCATCCTAACCCTAACCTCAAGACTGGAATGGCCTGCCAGAAGAGCTCCAACTGCGAAATCAGCTATCAAAATTCGAGATATAACTGAAGACCTATTTTAACTCATTTTAACTGTAGCCTGCCCCTATACCCATGCTCTCACCTACCTGCATACACACAACAAAGACTTACAGCAATACTGATAAAATGCAGGTTAAAATTACAAAGTGGGTAGGCCTGCTGGCAATTTGAAAATTATCCCATGCTGGTAGGCCTACCCAGCCTGTGATTTTAACCTGCATTTTATTAGTATTGTTGTTGGTCTTTGTGAGTATGCAGGTAGGTGAGAGCATTTGGGTACAGGGGCAGATTGCAGTTTAAAATAAGTTTAAAATACATTTAGAACATAACTAAAGTCCACAAGATAAAAACATACCATGCCGCTATCGACACTCTTCAACCATATGATTATTTTTTTAGAAAAAATCAATCTAAAAACCTTCCTAAAGAAGAAGGCATTTAACCTGTCAACGGAAAAGGAGCAGGAAGGTAGCAAAGCAGCAGACTACCTGCAGAAGGGATTTCTGCATTTGACATAGTTGTGAAAGGGTTGTGGCCAAAAGGGAGCTAAATCTCTTTTCTCAGGAGTGTGCACGAATTTGTACAAATTTGCAGTCGTACACAAATTCACCCCCTTGTATTGCATGGTTATTTTTTTAAAGAAAACAAAAGATAGATTGTGTGATGTATCTCCATAGCACAGTATAGTAGTTTGGCCTTTCATCTAATTGTTTTCTCTCTTTCAGAGGTGCTGCTTGAAGCTACGTTCTTTAGTGTTGACCCCTACCTGAGGTATTTCCCTTTTTATAAAATATCCATTAATATATAATCCTAACTAAGGGCGGTTCCACACTGTGGTAAAGTCCGCTTCATCCTGGGTTGGGGTGGATTGTTGTCTGCACAGCAGCCGCAAAAGTGGCTAGGTGTCCAGATGTGCCCCGGTACCTTCCAGGAGAACACCCGGACACCCTACCCCCCTCCCCAAAACCTCTTTTAAAAATAGAATAACTTACCCAGCCTCCATTAGCATGGTGCATGATCTCTTCTGGCACATTGGAATAATGCACCAGGAGAAAGGGGTGGGAGGAGGAGCCAAATCCTTGTTGCCACATGGCCAGACTTCGTGCACCACAGCTGCACCAAGCTCAAGTTGCTTCTTTTCGTGAGGGCATGCAGAGTCATGCAGGCCCCAGGTGTCTTTGCTGGCCACAGGCCCCAGGAGCCAAGGAGGCCACTCCTCCAACAGCACAACCACCAAGGGAGGGGGAAGGAGCCAAAATGTGCACACAGCCTGCTGGGTCTCACGGGCTAGATCCACATCCATGAAGCCGGTGATGTTGAGGCACTTCATTCCATATTGCTCTGCCTGTCCTGAGCAATGGAGCCCCCGGTGCCGATAGGACTGAAGACTGACAGGTCAGAGGTTCGAATCTGGGGAGAGCTCAGATGAGCTCCCCCTATTAGCTCCAGCTCCTCCCTATGAGAGAAGCCTCCCACAAGAATGGTAAAACATCAAAACATCCAGGCATCATTGTGTAGTTTGATTCAAATGCTATGAATATTGTTCTTTGTGGAGAAAAAAAAGATATAGACATTGTATTATCAAAGGCTTTCATGGCCAGAATCACTGGGTTGTTGTAAGTTTTTTGGGCTGTGTGGCCATGTTGCAGAAGCATTCTCTCCTGATGTTTCGCCTGCATCTATGGCAGGCATCCTCAGGGGTTGTGACCTCTGAGGATTCCTGCCATAGATACAGGTGAAACATCAGGAGAGAATGCTTCTGGAACATGGCCGTACAGCCCGGAAAACTTACAACAACCTAGATATAGACATTGTAAAAGCACAAGGTTTCTACTGTCTGGCATACTTGTGCTTTTGATTCTCTGAATATTAAGTTGCTATTAGCATTCAGTTCTATTACTTTGTAGCCTCGATTCCTAGTGCCAAATTGCAGTCCACTTATTTGCAGCCATATATACAATGGCCAATTCCTCATGTGCATACACTTTGTAGATTTTAATTATCTCCCAGGCCATTAAAATTCATCTGTCGGTTTTTGCATTCTTGAGCTTTGGTTGGTGGCACAGAAAAAGCTCATTAATGTGGTGGTCAGATGGCAATCCTGATGCATGAAGCATAACATGATATGAGGCAATAAACAATGTATGAAAACATGTTGTACCAAGACAAATGTTAATTGTTACCACAGTGCCCAGACATAAAATAGAAAACGTGGTGAAAGGCTCATTCTGCAATGTGTTCTATTGTAAAATAGTACTGGTGCAATTAGTTGATCTAAATTTCTATGGAAATCCATTAGAGAAAGTACCTGTGGTTTTACTTATGTCCAGTAGGAGTCAATGGAATTTAGTGTAGGTAAATTAGTTTGGATACAGCGCAGTGTCCTCACTGTTTTAAACACTTTCTTGATTTGTTTTGTTTCAGACCATACAGTAAAATCAAAATGAAGGAAGGGGACAAAGTTATTGGCTCCCAGGTTTCAAAGTAAGATCTTCTTTGGCTCATTTTCTGTCTTCTCAAGATATCTACCTTCATTTTTATGTGGGGAATTAGGGGTTGACATTGAATTGGGAAAAACTCTCTTGGACTGATTGTATAGTTAAAACAAAGATTATGTTTCCATATGGGAAGATACCGAGGAATGAACCTGGGATTTGCTGGTGCCAAGCACGGAGGCTACTGTTGCGCTACAGCCAACTACTCAGTTAGGTCGAAATGAAGATTAATATGTGTTGTCACAAGCAGCCGCAGAAGCTTTCCCCATCCAATCAAGGCGTAAACTCACAGCTTTGTCTTTGCAGCAGACTTTATACAAAAATAGGATGAATTCCTCAACAGATGGCAGTACTGGTATGTGGCAGGTACTGGCTTGTTCAGTAGACTCTTCTCTACAGTTCCATTTTGGTGGGAAGCCTTAGCATTGAATGGTTGTGTGGTTAAAGTGCGAAGTATGAACCCCTGCACAGGCAGTCGGTCAGTGCGACTTAAGTCATTGAATTCTTGACAGCAGAAGGTGTCACCCCAAAGGGGATTCATCAGAGAATGCAAGCTGTTTATGGTGATTGTGTTGATGTTAGTCCTGTGCATCACTGGGTGAATACGTTTAAAGATGTTGAGATGGGAACATCTGACTTGTGTGACTAACAAAGAGTTGGACTTCCTGTGACAGCAACCACCGAGTTTCACATACAAAAGGTTGACAGATTGATTCAGGACGATTGTCATATCACTCAAGAGATAAATTTCAAGCATAATCGGCATTTCACGAGAACATGTGAGTCACATTATTGCTTTGCTTGGCTATTGGAAGATCTGTGCACAATGGGTACCCAGGATGCTGACGCCTGAAATGAAAGTGCACAGACTTGAAACTTCAGAGACTGGATCTTACCACCATACAGCATCCTCCATACAGTCCAGATTTAACACTGCCTGACTTCTGTCTTATGCTTCTGATGAAGACGTTGAGAGAACTCTGAGACGCTGGTTGCGGAAACAGAGTGTCGACTCTTCCATGACAGTGTCAGAAAACTTGTTCATTGTTGACAGAAATGTATCCAATTGTCTGGTGATTATGTGGGAAACTGAATATTGGTAGTCAAAGAGCACAATCTAAGGATTATTTCTGCGTTTGATTTATTAAAGTATTCCCGTCCAAACCAAAGTAACGAAGGTGGAGGCATTACTTTTTATTCAACCCTCGTGTGTGTGTGTTTTACACACATACATACATACATACACACACACACACACACAAAGTTTATTTACAATGGCTGAAGACTGGAATACTTCACCCTTCTTTTACTGATATTTCCAGGTAACTGGATACTTCTTATTTGCAGCAGGCTGATCTTGTAGTCCAGATCCTCTTGGTACTCCAAGCTTCAGTTTCCTCAGGACACAAGCCTGTCAAAACTCCAATCTTACAACACCTCGACAAAGAGGTGTTTTGCTCCTTTATTACCCCAGGAGTTACTTCACCCAGTCTATAATTACACAATGCTAGCCAGGTGGTTTGGCTCTTACTGCTTGTTGCCCTGATCCTTACACTACTTGTTACTTAAGAAATTATAAAAACTCTTAACAAGGCGTTCTAGCAGTACAGTGTCAATTTTCTGTCCTACTCCCAACTTTAAGAGCAGTTATGTAGCATATTGGAGTTTGGTGCTCCTGAATGTCATGCTGTTGTTTCCACTTCTCAATTGTACTCTTGTTGGCTTATGTGTGCTTGCTTTTTCTTTTATTTGTTAACAGGGTCCTGGAGAGCAAGAATCCCAAATATCCAGTGGGTGCATTTGTAGTCTCTCAGTCAGGCTGGACAACACATTTAATTTCTGATGGCAAAGACCTGTCGCTAATTCCTTCTAACTGGCCCCAAAATCTTTCCAAATCTCTGGCTCTTGGGACAGTTGGGATGCCAGGGTGAGTGTGCTTCATTGTATTATGGTCATAAAACATTCTAATTTTGAAAAAAGTTACTTTATGGTGTGATGTTTCTAGAGTCCCTAATAATAATAAGAATATCAATAACAACAACTTTATTTTTATATCCCACCACCATCTCCTTGAAGGGACTCGGGCAGCTTGCAAGCGGGACCAAGCCTAATAACAACAAAGTTAGACAAATGAAAACACAATAAATATATGACAATCTAATTACACAGTTAAAACAGGGACACTGAAATCTTTAGCTATCTTTGCAGTGCAAAGCCTAGAAAAGGGGTTATTTATTTTATAACTATGCCCCACTCTCAAACCAAGTCATAACTCCTGATGTTTCACCCACATCTATGGCAGGCATCTCAGAATGCCTGCCATAGATGTGGGCAAAATGTCAGAAGATAATGCATCTGGAACATGGTCATACAGCCCGGAAAGCTCACAGCAATCCAGTGATTCTGGCCATGAAAGCCTTTGGTAACGCATAATTGGTTAGTTGTTTAAAAGTAGCTATATCAATTGCATTTAATAGCTGCCCTGTAGTACAATACACTCCTAAGTAATGAAGCCATAGCCCCTGTAACTCTTCAGGCTACTTGAATAGTTGTACTAAAAATATTCCCGGCCTGAAAAATGGGTTTTCTGTGGTCAGGAATTCGTATTGGGAAGAAAAACAGATAAGTGAGATTCCAGCACAATTTTCTTCTGGTATCCAGATCTCTCACATTTTTTGAAATACTGTTCTGCAGAGATTTTTGCACAAAAATCCTGTTTCCTATGCACAGATTCTGTTTTGTGTACAAAAACCCCCTCATATTTTCCCCAGCAAAATAATATCTCTGCAGCACTTTGAGGTGTTTGCATATGCAAAGAACACTGTGGAGGAATATTTGTTTTTTGTTCTGCTGGTGATAAAACTACTGTAGTTGTTGTGCTGATAAAACTCTTGATGGTTTTCATCCTATCCCTTGCTGTGTTGTGGTAGTAATGTAACTTAGTATGTGCATCTGTTCCATCAACACATCAATAAACATTTGGGGTGGGGGGGGGGGGGCTCATCTTTTACATATGCAATTAAAAGAATACTGTGAAATCATTTCTGGAAAGAGATAAACTTAACAATCAATGCAATTTTGCACTGGGAGATATATATAATAAATAATAATAAAGCTATTTTTTTATCGTGTCAGGAGAGACTTGAGAAACTGCAAGTCGCTTCTGGTGTGAGAGAATTGGCCGTCTGCAAGGACGCTGCCCAGGGGACGCCCGGATGATTTGATGTTTTTATCATCCTTGTGGGAGGCTTCTCTCATGTCCCCGCAAGAGGAGCTGGAGCTGGTAGAGGGAGCTCATCCGCCTCTCCCTGGATTCGAACCTGTGACCTGTCGGTTTAACCCACTGCGCCACCAGGGGCTATTTATGCCCCACGACCATTTCCCAAAGTACATAAAATACACAATACAAAGCATATAAATGGGAAAAGCACTCCAAAGTCCAGCACACATAAAATACACAATACATAGCATATAAATGGCAATATACGATAACAATATAAATATACGTCTAGTATGTAGCCATTAGAGTTGCGCCCAAATCACTGTTAATGAAAAGATTGGTAGTTTTCAAAGGCCATTTTCGTGTAATTTCCAAAAACAGAAAGGGGAAGAGAGAGACGAAAAGACCAGTGAAACGAATTCATAGAGATGATCTTTTCAGAAGGAGTTAAGTCCACAAAATACCCGAGGCAGTGGCACTTTTTTCTCTCCCCAGCAGAAGAAGCCTCCTCCATTTTTTCTTGGAAAGTTTCCTCCTTCTCCAGAGAGAGCCTTTAGAACTTGCTTCCCCAGTGGCACTTGCATAGGGTGGGAAACTTGGCCACTGAAAGTTCCTTTTGGAGCATGATGGGAGTTGAAATTTTCCTCTCTGTGTCACTCAGCCAATAAAAAGCATGGTGGTGTCCATGCCCTGATCGGCTGAGAATGGACACAACTGGCGACTACAATTCCCAGAACCATCTCTTGCGGTTTGTCTTATTTTAAAAACTGTTATGTTTACAAATTAAATAATTCTAAAAAAAAATTAGTAGATTGGTGAATTGTTTTGAAACTTGGCAGGCCTGCCGTTGGAAATGTCTGCCACCGAGGTAGGTTTCATATAGATAGACCTTAAAATGGCTGAGGATTGAGCCTTTAAAGTTTCCCATTGCAGCCAATGGGCTGAATCTCTGCCGAATGAAACAGAAAACACCCCTCCCCTTTCAGATAATTTTCTGGCAAACGAAATCAGGGGTCAGATGAAAATGGACCCGAAAACGGTATGCCTTTTGGCCCGAATGCATATGACTAATAGTCACATCTCAGTAGCTATGTCTCTCTAGTCCTCCCTTAAACAATTCATCCGTCTCACAAACATGGTCATTTCTATGTCATTGAAGAACCAAGGGAGCAATGTTTTGTTGTAGACGGATGTGCTACAACAGGAAACAGTTGGAAAGAAAAATTATGTCCATGTAGCAGCTCCAGCTCCAGAAAAGTAGCTGAATGTTTCTTTGCTGACTCTGGCTATCTCATGAATGCTAGCTAGAGTCAGTAAAGCAACAGTCAGCTATTTTTCTTGAGTTGGAGCTGCTGCACTGACATAATTTTTCTTGTGAATGCCACATGGCTTAAATGGTTGATTTGGAGGAGTTTGGTTGTTACGTAATCTGGTAAAGAATTCCAACCTTGGCAATGACCATTCAAGTGGATTACAATTGTGTACATTGAACTTGTGTTAACGAAGTTGCTGGTTTTGTTCTTACCTTTTAGTTTGCTTTTCTCATCTGTTTGTATTGATGTAAAAAATGTAGGAGCCCACCTGTCTTGTGCCTTTAGTCCCTTTGATCTGATCAGTAGTACTTCACACACACCCCCCCCCCAACTTTCCAAGTAATCTCATTCGGACATGTAAACCAAAACCATCTTTGTCTCTCAAGCAGTGCATTTCTAATTTTTCACAGGCTGACTGCCTACTTTGCCTTGTCTGAGATCTGCCGGATAAAACCAGGAGAGATCATCATGATAAATGCGGCTGCTGGTGCTGTGGGCACTGTAGTAGGGCAGCTTGCTAAACTCAAGGTATGGTTGTTCTTCTGGATGTTTTTGAACTATAGCTCTCAGGATAATTTATCAATATGTTAATAAATGATCCTGGGTCTGATCTGAGTTATACCACTTCATCACATCAAAGCTCAGAAGTGTCTAGTAGAGAAGAGCTCAGTCTGACTCAGTTTTGAAATCAAATGGCTGATTTCCCTATCTTCATACTGTGAAATCTGTCTGTGTTGTACTCTACACTTTAACCAAAACTAATGTGATGAACACAGTGGGTTACCAGATTTTAAGTGTAGGACTCATTGGAATTTAACTAATGTGATGAAGTGGCTAGTTTAAAATCTGGAGAGTATCAAGTTGCTTGCTTGGGCTAAAAACGATCACATTGAGACAGTTAGAAGCAAACAATGAGGATACAAGACCACCAACCCCATTAGAAGACCCTTCTTCACCAACCAGTTCATGATAAAAAGTGTATCTAAGGGTTCATCATCCAGTCTGGCCCAAAAACTGGGACCTATCTAGAATTGTCCATCTACAAAGACATTGCCTGGGGGATGCCCAGATGTTTTACCATCCTTGTGGGAGGCTTCTCTCATGTCCTTGCATGAGGAACTGGAGCTGATAGATGGGAGCTCACCCCCTTCCCCAGATTCGAACTGCCGACCTTTTGGTCAGCAGTCCTGCCGGTACATGGGTTTAACCCATTGCGGTACTGGCAGCCAGGTCTTTGAATAAGGATATACAGTTATTCAGATAGCCTATCCATATAGAGCTTTAGAAGTGATAATTAACATTTTGAACTGTGCCCAGAGACAAACTAGTGGGGTATGAAGCTGTTGTAACTGGGGAAGTGTATATTCTCAGCCCTTACTTGGCTGAAGTGTAGTCTTGCACCTGGAGCTTGGCAGGAATCCTTCTGCCAGCATCTGCCTGTGGCATGTCTTCCTAGCTGAAGTGTTGGCCCATATTAATGACTCAGAGGATTAGAGATCAAAGTCCATTTAATGCTATTTGTTCATAACATCTTACACTTAATTTGTATCTTGCACGTTATCTTGAACTTGAACATAGTCAGGTGATTCAAGCACCTGAATATTCTCAAAATTAACGAGAGTACAAAAGCTGCCAAACTTGTTTCTTGGTGGCATGCAAGGTAACGTTCTTCGATTTCGTAAGAGTGGTTCTTGGTAAAAGTCCAGGAAGCTGAGTAGCACAGATGTGTTATCGTTTTCTTTCATTCTGATCTGGCAGGGTTGCAAAGTGGTCGGCTGTGCGGGATCTGATGACAAAGTGGCCTTCCTAAAAAAACTTGGCTTTGATGAAGTCTTCAACTATAAGACAGTGGGGTCATTGGCAGAGGCCTTGAAGAAAGCTTCCCCAGAAGGCTATGACTGCTATTTTGATAATGTAAGTTCAGGTTGAGCACAGCTCTGTGCCTCCCTTGAGGTGGATCGTAGATTTGTGTAGGGCTTGCCCTGTTGAGACTAACTTTGTGCACAGACTTTGTTTAATAAAGGGAAGCTGCTGCAGTGTAGAAACCTTGGGATTTCCTAGCACAATATAGCAGAAGCTGCAATGAGAGCAGAAAATATTTCCACAGCAGATCAGCAAGGACTTTTGACTACTTAATGCTTGCAACAGCTGCTGAGCATTAGCTGACTAGACAGTAGTCATGGGCCCAAAATTTGTCCCATTTGTTTCATTTGTGTTTCCATTTTGTTCTGTCCATTTGGATGGCACGAAATGGAAAGGCCCCTCCTGAAATGAAAATGCAGTCAATACGAAAGTCTGGCGGGCCTGGTTTTTGGATCGATTACATGGGGCCTGGCAGGGCCTGCAGCCAAGTGCCGAGTAAGGAGCACCAGAGTTAGGGCCCCACCGAAAGCTGGGACACAAAACAGATCAAGGTAAGCCCCGAATGAACATGACTACTAGACAGTGGAAAGCATTGCTTGTAATATGATTGAATCTCACTGAGAGAGATAGGTTCCAAAATGATACTCAAATTAAGTTACGAAATTTCTGTAAGTAGCTGAGGAATTAAAATGGTTCAGTAGTTGAAGACTCCGAATGAACACCCCATTGAGGGAAGCTGATCTGTAGCCTGCCTTATGAACACAGGCTGGTATCCTTTTGATGAACCATCACGGCTTAAGTCATACTCTCTCAGTCTCAGAGGAAGGCAAAGGCAAGCCTCCACTAAACAAAATTTGCAGAGAAAACACCATAGGAACCTTAAAGTAAAGGTAAAGGTTTTTCCCTGACATTAAATCCAGTCGTGTCTGACTCTGGGGGTTGGTGCTCATCTCCATTTCTAAGCCGAAGAGCTGGCGTTGTCCGTAGACACCTCCAAGGTCATGTGACCAGCATGGCTGCATGGAGCGGGACCTATTGATCTACTCACATTTGCATGTTTTCGAACTGCTAGGTTGGCAGAAACTGGGAGCTCACCCCGCTCCCTGGATTCGAACCACCGACCTTTCAGTCAGCAAGTTCAGCTGCTCAGTGATTTAACCCGTTTTTCTGTGCCACCTGGGGCAGCGACAACATATAACTAGACTACTTTGTTCTTTATACGAGGTTGAATGAAAAGTAATGCCTCCACCTTAGTAACTCCTCAACAGAGGGCAGTACTGGTATGCAGCAGGTACTGGCTTGTTCAGTAGACTCTCCTCTACAGTTCCATTTTGGTGGGAAGCCTTAGCATTGAACGGTTGTGTTGTTAAAGTGCAAAGTATGGAACCCTGCACAGGCGGTTGGTCAATGCGACTTAAGCAACATGCTGTCATTGAATTCGTGACAGCAGAAGGTGTCACCTCAACATCTTTAAACGTTCTCATCCAACAAATTCTTGACAGCAGAAGGTGTCACCCCAAAGGAGATTCATCAGAGAATGCAAACTGTTTATGGTGATGGTGATGGTGTTGATGTGAGTACTGTGCGTTGCTGAGCGAGTAAATTTAAAGATGTTGAGGTGACACCTTCTACTGTCAATAATTCAATGACTGCACGATGCTTAAGTCGCATTGACCGACCATCTGTGCAGGGTTCCATACTTTGCACTTTAACAACACAACCGTTCAATGCTAAGGCTTCCCACCAAAATGGAACTGTAGAGGAGAGTCTACTGAACAAGCCAGTACCTGCTGCATACCAGTACTGCCCTCTGTTGAGGAGTTACTAAGGTGGAGGCATTACTTTTTATTCAACCATCTTTACTCAGCTTCTAATCTAACAATATCATTATTAACAAGTAATTCATACTTCATTGATTAGTCCTTGAAATGGTTAATTCCCCCATTAACAACTAAAATCCCGACACTCATTATTAATAGAAATTCTTTACTCATATGTGATTATTATTAAATATATATTTAAAAATAAAGTTGAAATGAACGGGTGCTGATATTTTACTGCCCTTTTGACTATAATGGATTTTGTTCCTTTTTCTGTTTGGATTCTTATCAGTTGTCTTCAATTACGCAGGTGGGAGGAGCATTTTCCAGTGTTGTTATGGAGCAAATGAGGAAATTTGGGAGAATTGCTGTGTGTGGCATGATCTCGTTGTACAATGACACAGAACCCCAGCAAGGTAAAACAAGCCAAAAGAAAACAAATACCTTTTTGCCTTTTCCCTGAAAGCTTTCAAAAGGAAAGAAAATTAACGGAGCTGCATCTCTACCACCAAGCTTGTCTGCAGCCGATGAAAATTAAAGGGACCAATTCTGGAGTTTGGGGTGAGGGCCGTGAGTGACATTTGGTGGGAGGCTGTATAGTACTTTCCTGCCTCCTAGAAGTACCCTAGAACAGTGTTACATGGTGGGCTAGTATTGCTACAGAAACTTCTCGTTTCTTTTAAGGCTGGCTTCAATGGATGTGTGCCAGGAGAAAATAAAATAACTGGCTAATGGGTGTTGATTTGAGCATTGGGCAAGGGACATTATCACATTAAGACCGGAATTTGCCATGGATCATAGTGAATCCGGCAGGGCCAGGCATCGCCTTGCATCACCTGGCTTCTGCCTCACCCCACCCAAAGGGGTTAAGCTGCCCAGCTTCCTCCCATTGTTGTCAATGCAACCCGGGAAGCCTCCTGTGTTGCTGCCGCAGTGGCGACTTATGGCGCGCTCTCTTCACTTCTACCACAGAGCCCCACAAGATGTAGATCTATCTCATGGGATGGGAGCCACTAGGCTCCATGTCGCATGTAAAGAGGGAGTGTCTATGACAGTCAATTTTGCCTATCTGATGAGGTCTTATAACTAGAGACAATGTTCATTTCGCCATTCAGCCATGAAAGCCTGACCTTGGGTGAGTCCCAGAAAACCCCATGGTAGGTTCACTGTAAGTCACTGCAAGTCGGAGATTACTCGAAAGCACACAACAAGAAGACTTCATTGAACTCCTCCTTTCTCTGGATGATTTTGCTGTCTGAAATTAGGAATGTGCTGCTAATTCACCTTAGTATCCGTTCAAAAGGTTGGTGGTTCAAATCTGGGGAGCAGGGTGAGCTCCTGCTGTTAGCCCCAGCTTCTGCCAACTTAGCAGTTCAAAAACATGCAAATGTGAATAGATCAATAGATACCACTCCGATGGGAAGGTAACGGCGTTCCATGCAGTCATGCTGACCACATGACCTTGGTGGTGTCTACAGATAGCGCTGGCTCTTTGACTTGGAAATGGAGATGAGCACCACCCCCAGAGTCGGACACAACTGGACTTAATGTCAAGGAGAAACCTTTACTTATCAGTTCCTATTCCCATACTAGGGGAAGACTTCACTGCTTGCTGTCCTTCAGCACTTCTTACAATTTCTCTTACAATTAAATGGTGCTTTTAAAAATTAAAAAAATAATAATAGGGAAAAGAAGAGTTAGGAACCATTTCTGTTAGAACACAAGTTGGTCTGAGTCATACTGGTAGTCCAGTTCTTAGTCTCTGTTGTGAGCAAGTGGGTCTGTTAAACAATAGGAGTCAAGTTTTATGGCAAGCTCTCCTTCAATAATACTGCTGTACTTAAGAGAAGGCTGAATGTACTAGATGAACTTTTCAATCAAAAACACAATAGTACTTAAAATTTGAAATAGGTGTTTACCTGCCTATAATGAGGAGGCTGGCATTACAAGATGAAAGTGGAAAGTGCTGCAAATCAGATTAAAAAAAGCAAACAAATGCCCAAACGAATACTGCCCGCCCTCCACATTTGTTGGGTTGGGTGTGTAAGGCCCTGATGTCATAATTCATCAACATTGACTTGGTTCTGTGAGTGAACGAAGGATTGCAATTCTATTCTTCATTTTTGCAGAAAATAGGAAAAATCTTTCCTGAAGTGCAGAAAGTTGTGCTCCAAGAAGGAACTGTTCTCAGTTCTGGAAGCAGCCCAGGTGTGGCTGGCAGACAGGAAGGGAAATAATGTTTGAAAATACAGTAGACCATCTACTTGTATAGAGATTGGGGCACTGAACCCCCATGAAAATGGTAACATTTTAATAATAATAATGCTGCATATATTTAAAAGAGAAACTGAATGGAAAACAGAATAGAAAAATGGTAAATCAAAATGGTTATATTTTAGATTAGAGAATATCTCTCTAGGACAATGCTTTTCAACCTAGGGGTTGGGACCCCTGGGAAAGTCACAAGGGGGTGTCAGAGGGGGCACCAAACACCATCAGAAAACACAGTATTTCTGTTGGTCATGGGGGTTCTGTGTAGAGAGTTTGGTCCAATTCTGTTGTTGGTAGGGCCCAGGATATTCTTTGATAGTGGGTGAACTATAAATCCTAATAACTGAAACTCCCAAATATCAAGATCTATTTTCCTCAAACTCCACCAGTGTTCACATTTGGGCAAATTGAGTATTCGTGCCAAGTTTAGTCCAGATCCATCATTGTTTGAGTCCACAGTGCTCTCTGGATGTAGGTGAACTACAACTCCAAAGCTCAAGGTCAATGCCCACCAAACCCTTCCAGTATTTTCTGTTGGTCATGGGAGTTCTGTGTGCCAAGTTTGGTTCAGCTGCATCGTTGGTGAAGTACAGAATGATGTTTGATTGTAGGTTAATTATAAATCCCAGCAACCACAGCTCCCAAATGACAAAATCAATCCCCCCCCCCAACCCCACCAGTTTTCAAATTTGGACGTACCAGGTATTTGTGCTGAATTTGGTCCAGTAACTGAAAATACATCCTGCATATCAGATATTTACATGACGATTCATAACAGTAGCAAAATTACAGATATGAAGTAGCAACAAAAATAATTTTATGGTTAGGGGTCACCATAACATGAGTAACTGTATTAAAGGGTTGCGACATTAGGAAGGTTGGGAACCACTGCTCCAGGGATCTTTCGGTCTTCCAGGGTGACTCCAATCAACCTCGATCAAAAATTGGCCCTTGAATTGCAGTGGAGGACCTAGAGATTCTTAGAGAGAATATCTTAACCAAATCCACATATAGCTGAATCCACAAAAGTTAAACCCTTGGATGTTGAGGGCTGGTTGGCTTTAAAAATGGTTGAAAAACATGCTTCTTGGACAACATTGTTTTAAAGATTCTTGAACTAAAGAGAATCTTGGACGTCAAGGAGCACTGTGCAAAATGAGCATGTGGTTTCTCTTGTTGGGTATGTTGGAGCATGTCCTACCACAGGAAGACAGCTAGCTATATTGTTACTTACCTTCCTACGGTATTGTCGAAGGCTTTCATGGCTGGAGTGACTGGGTTGTTGTAGGTTTTTTCGGGCTATATGGCCATGTTCTAGAAGCATTCCTACCTTCCTACTCTTTGGTAACTTGAAAGCAACCACGTTGGCAGGAGATTTGCTTAAATGGTAGGACTTGGGAGGATGTTTGGTCCTTGATGGCACAATGTAAAAGTGACTGTAAAAATGACTTGTGGTTTCATACTTAGACTTTCAATATTATAATTGCCAAGTAGGTTGGAGTCCAGTATTTCTGTGTGCAGGGAATTGCATTTTCTATACAGAAAATACTGTTTCCTGTACAAAACTATCACATGCCAATTCTGAATAGAGTAAGTCTGGGACAATTAGTAACTTTTCAAAATTGGAGGTTTTAAAGATTTTCTCACAACTGGAAGGAAATATCTGAAATTACTCTGCTACATTTGAGAAGAAAATTTGTGAAAAATTATATTTATACAGTCAGAGCAACATTGCTGTCTCTTTTAAACAGTATTAATTACACATTTCTTGCATATAGGTATCAGAAAGTCTTTCTTAAAGCTGCCAGAGTAAAAACTGGAAATGACTCTTGCACCTTTTGTGGTTGTATGGGACAGGAAGCTACTGCAGGTGTTGCGTGACATTGTGTAACAAGGAACAACTGCTTCAATTTCCCCTTCTACATATGCATTAAACGTTTTTGTTTTCCAGTCAAGCAATTTTAGGACGCTGTTTGGAAAAGTTGGACTTGGATAATCCATAGTGAAAGGGTGGGGCAACATTTCTGATGGTGTGTAATTTAAATTAAACGAATGCACTGGTACACTTTCAAAGCACTAGAGGTCAGTAATGAATTTGAAGACATATGCTTCCTCTTTGAAAATACTTTCAGCTTTTGGAATTTCCCCATGGGAGCACAGTTGAGCAATTCCAACCCAAGATCTTTCTTTACCTCAGGCTGTCTGTGTGACACACTTAGAAACATATTAACTGTGAGCGCCCCAGAATTACTGAAGACTTTTTGATAGTCTCAGAAGTCACTGCAGTTGTTGGTGATCAGTTGACTCACTGTTCATCTTGCACATAGTTGAAGAGCATGCTTGGGTTCATAAGTATTTTGGATTTTTTTTTCATGTCAGGAGCAATTTGAGAAACTGAAAGTTGCTTCTGGTTTGAGAGAATCTCATCTGCAAGGACATTGCCCAGGGGATGCCCTGATGTTTTACCATCCTGTGGGAGGCTTCTCTCATGTCGCTGCATGAGAAGCTGGAGATGACAGATGGGAGCTCCCCCTGATTCGAACTGTCAACCTTTTGGTCAGCTGTTCTGCGAGCACAAGGGTTTAACCCAGTGTATCTCAGCCTTCCTAATGCTGTGACCCCTTAACGACCAACAGAAGATACTGGAAGGGTTTGGTGGTCATTGACCTTGGGTTTGGGAATTGTAGTTCCCCTATATCCAGAGAGCCCTGTGGACTCAAATAATGAAGGATCTAGACCAAACTTGGCATGAATGCCCAAATGTGAACACTGGTGGAGTTTGGAAGAAATAGACCTTGACATTTGGGAGTTGTAATTGCTGGGATTTATAGTTCACTTACAGTCAAACAGCATTTTGAATTCAGCAACGATAGAATTGAGCCAAACTTCCCACACAAAACCTCCATGAGCAACATAAAATACTGTATTTTCTGATGGTCTTTGGTGAGCCCTTTGACCCCCCTGTGCAACCCCCCAGGGGTCCCGACCCCCAGGTTGAGAAACACTGGAATGAGTCCAATGCTCTTAGGCTCTATTGATGATGTGCCATGGAAACCAGGAGGATTATTTCAACAGACTGATCACACCAGGATGAAAGTTGGGTCCATCACTGATCCTGAGACTAAAATCCAGTCGATGCAATGGAAGCATCATGACTCACCACCTCCAAAGAAGGCATGTGCCCAACTCTCAGCAGGCAAGATCATGCTCACAGTATTTTGAGACCAGCACGGAGCAGTACTGATGGAGTTCCTAGCAAAGGGTACCATGATCACTGGGGCATACTATGCTTCGCTGCTGCAGAAATTGTGGGAGGCCATCAAAACCAAGAGACGTGGCATGTTCACCAAAGGTGTCTGCCTTCTGCAAGACAACATACCAGTTCACAACTCACATGTAGCCCAAACGGAAATATGCTCCTTTGGCTTTGAAATTCTACCACATCCCCCTTATTCATCTCACCTCACACCATTGGAATTCTACCTTTTTCCAGCAATGAAATTATTTTTGAAGGACAACCATTTTTCAGATGATGGGACTGATTTCCAAAGTCACAATGGGGCTTTTGGAGCAACCTACCAACTTCTACAAGTGATGTGTTTGCATTTGCTTAAAATGATGGGAGAAGTGTGTCCCTAGGTAGCACCTATGTAGAGAAGGACTAATAACTGCCAAGTTTTATTGCCCTCAGTCCACAGGAAGTAGATCAAGGGAAATCTTTAATTGAACGCCCTCCTTTGAAGGACAAATTTCACTCATGCTGTCCACTCTCCCCTTACAGGACCCTACATCCAGTGGCATATACTCATGAAAGAACTATGCATGGAAGGCTTCTTAGTTCAGCGCTGGGAAAACAGGAAGGATGAAGGTGTGATGGCCTTGTTGAAGCTGGTGGTAGAGGTAAGTGGTTTGACTGCGGTCATGTAGAGGCAGCTTGGTGGGGTTTAATCAGATGGACACCCATGCAACATGGGAGAGGATCCGAACGTAGCAAATAAGATGCAGGAGGGCCAATAAAAGGCATATCTTATATAGTGAAGGTTAATCTGGAGCATTTCTGGGCTGGAGGTGCCACGGATCTAGTGTGTACCTGTTAAACCCAGGGCCATGCCCTCTTGCTGGCACCTCCCTTGTTCTGCTGTTATAGTAGAGTCTCACTTATCGAACATAAACAGTCCGGCAGAATGTTGGCTAAGTGAAAATGCTGGATAATAAGGAGGGATTAAGGGAAAACCTATTAAACATCAAATTACATTATGATTTTACAAGTTAAGCACCAAAACAACATGTTTTACAACAAATCGAGAGAAAAAGCAGTTCATTCAATACATGGTAACATTATGTAGTAATTACTGTATTTATGAATTTAGCACCAAAACATTGCAATGTGTTGAAATAGCTGTGGATCCGGGCAGGAGGCAGACTGCGTTGGATAATACAGAACGTTGGATGAGCGAAGGTTGGATAAGCGAGACTACTGTACTTCACTTCTCCCTGCCAGCCATGAAGCTACCTGCAAACACCTGCCATTGCCTTTCATGTATGCTGCAGTCATAATGTGATGCCTGCATGATCAGCAAGAAGGGGGTAAAATGACATCAGCAGATGTGAGTGCGATGGCCGAGTGCTTGCAAGGAGCTCCCTGGCCAATGAGGAGCAGCAGTGGAAGTGCAGGGGAAGCCCATCCCCTTCCCTGTCCTGAATAGCTCAGGCAAATAGCAGCAGTGACAATGGATCAAGCTGAGATGGGTGTATTCCAGCTGTTCAGACAGCCATAAAACCTATGATACTTCAGAATTTCCTACAAACTTTGGAGTATTAATCAATTTGGTTTAGTGTGGTACAAAGTGCAATAAGGGCAAAAACCTTCATATATGTCAAGTTGCTATGTGTCATGAAGACTGCCAGCACCAGGTTCATGATGAGTATGTTTTTTTAATTAGTGAGTGCAGAGAAGCGCTTTTTTTGACATTTTCCCAATTCTCAAAGCTTATCACGTCTTCTAGGTATTTTGGATTGCATTATCCAGAAACCCAGCAAGTATAGTTAAATGTATTGGATTGTGGGAGATGAATCCCAGATTATCTGTAGTGCCAAGTTTTCCCCAACTGTGTCAATCTAGATAATACTGACATCCTACGCAATCTACCAATAGATAGAGATTTCTTTTGAATGGATGTCTCTGCCCAAGATGCCCCTTTTATTATTTATAGCTGCCTTTGAGGCTCAATTATACAGCCGTATATTCAGACATTCAGAGGGTTTTGAATGTCTAAAGCAGGGAAGGAAATTGTGCATTCCTTTAGATATTGTTGGACTACAATTCCCATGAGCCCTAGCTAGTGTTGAAGATTGCTGGAAATTTTAGGCCAACAACATTTGAAAGTCTGGAGCCCCCGGTGGCGCAATGGATTAAACCCTTGTGCCGGCAGGACTGCTGACCGAAAGGTGGGCAGTTCGAATCCAGAGAATGGGGTGAGCTCCTGTCTGTCAGCTTCAGCATCCCTTGTGAGGACATGAGAGAAGCCTCCCACAGGATGGTAAAGCATCTGGGCGTCCCCAGAGCAATGTCCTTGCAGACAGCCAATTCTCTCACACCAGAAGCGACTTGCAGTTTCTCAAGTTGCTCCTGACACAGGAAAAAAAAATCTGAAAGGCTGATTGGTTTGTATGTTTATGTCTTCTTTCCCAAAACAAGTTTGGGGGCAGCATTTTAGGCTAATTTTTGGGTACTCTGTTTAATGCAACTTCTCCAGAAATAACAATCTCATAGTTTCACCATATGATTCTCTCTCTTCAGATTTGTCTGAGTCATAAAAAGGGTCCACAATGTTCCTGGCTGCCTAATACATTTAAGTGTTGGTTTGATCAGGAATGTATTGACATGAAACATATTCTGCTAGAAAAATGTAGGTCATATAGGCTAGCTCATCTCCTTTACTCCCAGCAGAGTGTTTTGAACTTAAGAGGAAATATAAACTCTGATTAAAATGAGAAAAGAACCAGGCTCAAAGGGAATCATGGAAACATTTAACAGACACTCTTTGAAGAGAAATTTTGCTAACATTTGGAGAGGAGTTACAAAAGGATGGCAGAATGCTCCATCAGAAGTGGACTATGCTATTCTGGCTGCTTTTTGGGAAGTACATTTCTATTCTCTACATGCAAATAAATAACTCCTCAATTGATTCCTTTGTCCTTGATCAGTGCAGGATCCAAGCTTATTTTCAGTCTTAAACAAAGCAGATAACATTCCAGCAGAGTTACTTAAGGTCAACTGTTGTTTGGGGCACTGATTCAGAAAATTACATTGAATAGACTACATCAACTCTAGATTCTTAGATGTGGTTATCACCATTTTCTGTGGGTGAGCAGATGTCAACTGGTATATGGCTTATGTTCTGGACCTCAAAAACTAGAGCTGATGGGAGGAAAGTGGTGCGATCTTTGGAATCTGCAAGTCAGATATACCCAGAAATGGCTAAGGTACCAAAATGAGTGTTGACTAGTGTTACATTCTACACAGCCTGACAATAAATTAGTGTAGGATTCAAGCCGAGAGGTCAACCATTGATCAAAGATCTGCCAGGGAGGCCCTCTTGCTTCTACCACCATCATAAGCATGGTTGGTGAGGACAAGGGAGAGGGCCTGCTTGGTGTTGGCCCCCAACTCTGGAACACCTTCCCTAGAGAGACTAGGCAAGTCCCCACACTGTCCTCCTTCCGCAGGGATTTGAAAACCTGGATGTTCCAACAAGCATTTGAGAATGACTGGTCCCTAGTTTCTAAATGCCCAGTCTCTAGGTTGCCAGACAATACTCTGCACTTTCTGCACTTCATCCAATTCCCTGGCCCTATAGTATGCTGTTTTGCACTATCCCATGCCCAGCCCTTTTACAGTCTGGTCACACCCATTTTACAAACTTGTGGTCATTGATTTTTTTGTAGAACATTGTCTGACAGAACTTCAATGCTGCTGTTTAACTCTTATGTTTAATTGTGGTTTTATCTGGTTGTTGTATTTTATGATGTTCTTATTTTAATGTTGTCTTGCTTTATGTCTTGTGGACATTCTGTCCCATATGTACACTGCCCTGAGTCCCTTCAGGGAGATGGTGGCGGGGTATTTTTTCCTTTTTCTTTTTCCTTTTCTTTTCTTTTTCCTTTTTCGTCTTTCTTCTCTCTATTACTTTTACCTATACTCATACCCCTATTTTAATATTATATGAAAACTTCAGTAAAGATTATTTTTTAAAAAAAAGAATAAAGTCCTTAAAGATTAGTGCTCCAACATCTATACATCACGTATAGCAATCTGCTGCTATACGTGATGGGCAGCCACAAATTAAATATGTGTATATCCTAGGCAGCAACACCACTTCTCCATCACAATCATCACGTCCTGGACTGGTGCTCCATTTGTTGGAGAGGTGTGGCCTGAATCTTACCGTTATTTCCAACTAGAGCAACCCCATCAAATCAGTACCATTTACCTATGTGTTGACTCTCTGATTGATTCTCTGATTTAATGGGCTTTTTCTAGTTAGAAATCACCATTGAGATTAAAAAAAAAACCTTTTCTACATTTAAAAAAATAATGATTGGATTGAGATCCAATTTCTTTCTCTATAGCAGTTTTCCAAAATTTCATGTTGGTGACGCTTTCTAGACATGTATCATTTTGCGACACCCATTCAGTTTTACAAACAAACCAGAGATTAAATCAACCCCTTATAAGAGCTGCAGACACATGCATAAATTGTAATAGCACAATGTATGGGAACACAGCATATATATATATATATGTATATGTATATGTATGATAATAACATATGTTTCCAATATTTTTGTCATTTCTCGTTATGTTTGCACAACACACATACATGCCTACTCACTTCATCTGAGAGCTCTGCTCTACAGAGTTGTGCTTTTGATTTATTGTTGACAACAAAGAAATAGATTTTTCTGATGTGCAAGAAACGTGATATACCATCAATACCCTCCAAAAGTGCTTTTTAAGGGAAAAAGAAGTATAATTTTTAAATGTGCTCAGTTCTTCCCTCAGAACCAGTGTGGTATAGTTTGAGTGTCGCACTATGACTCATTTGGAGATTAAGGCTTGATTCCCCACTCAGCCATGAAAACCCATTGAGTGATCCTGGGCAAGTCACACTCACAGCCTCAGAGGAAGGCAAATCTTGCCAAGAAAACCCTGTGATACTTTGGTTTGCCACAAGTCAGAAACAACTTGAAGGCACATAGTAACAACAGCCTTCTTTACCCTTCCTTTAAATAGTAATTTCAACCAAAATAAAAAAATGTTATGGTACTTTAAACAGTAATTAGTTAATTGGACATGAGCATTTCTAGTCACTCACATACATTTATGCTAAATAGAACTTATTAACTAATAATGGTGTCATGGGGCTTTTTTTTTTTTTTGGTAGAGTTGTGCCTCAACTTCCAAGAGTTTCACATCACAGATTTCATTTGTGAGTTTCCCAACAATAATTAAATGGGGATATTGGGGGGAGTCGTGTAGACTACTGCAGAAAATTGCACAGAACTCAAAATGTAAAGAAAGCTACAAGTATTGTACGTCAGAAAGGCATAAAACACATGTTCTATACTGTTTGTGTTAAATATGTATTGAAAGTTTGGGGAGAACCTATAGTGCTTTCCCCCCACTTTTGGTTGCGCCAAAACCCTGCAAATGTGGAGGGCCAGCTGTAACAGCTTAGTGCAGGTACTGTGCTGATCATTTAAACAAAACTTTTGTTGTATTGTTGAAGGCTTTCATGATCGGAATCACTGGGTTGTTGTAAGTTTGTTGGGATGTGTGGCCATGTTCCAGAAACATTCTCTCCTGACGTTTCGCCTGCATCTATGGCAGGCATCTTCAGAGGTTGTGAGGACCTTTTCCCAAAACTTTTTAGGAAAAGAACAAAACCCCAAACTGCATCACACTGATGTTTCAAAAGCCATTCTTCATTCCCCCCCCCCCTCTTTTTTCAACAGGGAAAGCTAAAGTGCCCTGAACACATCACTAAAGGCTTTGACAACCTGCCAAAAGCATTCATGGGGATGCTGAAAGGAGAAAACACTGGGAAAGCCATCGTACAAGTTTAATTATGGCCTGGATCCTTCCTCCAAACAAGGCAGCACAACGCATGTCGACTTGCAGCTTTTTATATTGCAGATTAAATTGCAGATTGCTTTCTTGCTAGAAGCTCAAATCATACACGTATTAGCTCATCTGTAAGTTTTTTAAAAACTGAGTATATCTTGATTATGGCAAAAACCTAAGGGAAACAAGTTTGTCACATTAATTCCGAGGACCAAAGTTAATGTGAAGGATGGAGATCCAGGAGTTTTTTTTAAAAAAAATGATTAACTATTTTAGTAAGAGACAGAGAAAGGAAAATACTAAGTCCTTTCTCACCGTTTTCTCCCTGTGAGAATCTGAACACCCTTCCTTAAATGCATATCCCAAGAGAAGTTACTTTGATAGCAGACAGGAATCAAAAGGCAAAAGGAGGTGAACCATTTATTCTGGCCTAAGGGAGGCATTGTATTTAAGATACAAATTTTATGATTGTAATATTTTTTTGTTCCATTAAAAAACTTGAGCTCAATCTTGAGAAATTCTCAAATTTCAGAAATAGGCGACTAAAAGGCATAACTTGCTTCAATATATTGTATGACAAGATATTGAACACAGGCGTGATAACACCAACCTTTCAGAAATGAATTGGAAAGATGTAATTTAGAGCATTTGTAATTCTGGGGAGCTGTTAAAAGGTGAGCTGGTAATGGAGTTTTTGTGGTGGGGGTTAAAGTAGATTATGAATTTGAAATAAGATGTGAGCTGATGAGTAGAGATATTTTCAAATAGCATTTATTCAATAAACCATTATTTTGTTAACTTTCGCCTATGTGTTTGTTTGAAATTATTGCAAAGATGTTAATTCCCCACGCACACATATGAGCAGTAGATATGTTAGCCCATAGTTGTGTAGCCACTTTGGGACACCTAAGTAGGAAACACAGCAGTGGTTAAAGAAGTGGTCCTCAAAGAACTAAAATATGGTCCACGACCTCACCATTACATTATTGCAATGAGAGCATCTGGTCTTGCAAACCCTCTTATAGTCCCAGGGCAACGGGGATATCGGGAGGGGAGAGGTTGAAGACCCATGAAAGGCACGACGACAAGCTTCCTGATTACTGCTTCTCCTCCCTTCCTCCCCCTGAGCAGAGCTGTTCCATGTGGCATCTAGAAGTGGGGGGTGCCTTGGTGTCTTCGTTTTTAGGCTGCTCCTGGGGTTATTTGGGGAGCTGATTCAGAAAATTGCATTGGATAGACCACATCAGCTCTAGATTATTAAATATGGTTTTCTGTGAGCAAGCAGATGGTGACTACAGGATGGCACATGTTCTGTATCAGAAACTACAGCTGAAATTTTCTGAATCGGCACCCCAAATAACCAAACTGAATCTAAAGTTGACCAAAAACTGATTTGTAATCCTTTTGGTATTAATGTTGGATAATGGTTCCTGGTCAAAAAAAAGGCTGGGAACCACTGGGTTAGAGAAATGATCTGAATAATGGAAACTCTTGTTCTGTGGGAATATTTTGGGGCCCATTCATGCTCCAGGTGCATCCGTTAAAAAGGTAGGTGTGTTCCAGGGTATTACATTTAGCAGAAAATTTGAAGCAGCAATAACATGGAAGAAATAGTATAGTTTCTTATACTATAGGGGGGAAAATAGCAGTTCAACATGCTTCCACAAACGTTGAATTCAGAAACCACAGTATACACATGAAATTGCAGTGTCCAGTAAGGTTTGCATATCTAACCAAAGACATTGTGAATCTTCTGAAGACATGTTTTCCTTCTTTAATCACGCCCAGGGAGGCCTCTGCCTTTTTTATGATTTCCAGTTTGGTGTTCACCTTTTTAGCTCTATTTTTAAACATGCTAAGGGTAATTGCTGAAACAGGCTTTACATACTTTCCCGTTTCTTTCTCTTCACTGTAAGGGATTAGCAGGGTGGCTGCTATTTACCTTGCCCGTGGAAGGTAGGCACACATATCTAGAGCTGAACTGCTAAATTAGAATTATATTTTGTTCCAGTTTCAAGCTTTATTGCATTGTTTACTGCAGATAAACTGCTGCAAACCAACGCTAAACAATCTGCTTCTTGAGCCTTTCTTCACCTGTTTTCCAGGGCTGATGCTACAAGAAGTCCAGCTTGTTGGAGGATGAAAAAAAGGCAGGGCTAAGTGGGCACAGAAACCTAAAAAGGAGTTAACTTATGTGTTTCTCTATAAAAAGCCGCCTAACTTCACTTTAACTGCTTTGACAACATCCTATGGAATTTGGGGATTTGAAGTATAGGGAGGGGCATTTAATCCTCTACCAGATAACTAGTGCCTTCTCCAAACCACATTACTGTAGGATGCAACTGTGGCATGTGATGTGGAGTCATCACCATGTAATTGTGCAGTATGAATTGGCCCTGGTATGTGTAGTTTGTTACAGTTTCTTCCCTTCATTGAAAATAAGATATTTATTCCTTGCTATGTCCCAATAAAATTTTAATTAACACTGATGTTCAGTATATGCGACAAACTACCTATCATTGGGATGCAATTCTTGTATTTTGTTTCATGTTTGCAGTCTATTATCTGCAAGACACAGATTTTCTGCCTGATTGATAACCACAGAAGCTACCAAGCAGTTTTTTTTCCTGAGAGTACAAGACCATGAGGAAAGGATTTATGCACAGATCAAAAACGCTTGCAAAATGCTTAGTGCATGCTTTCTTAATGATTTATCACATCTATTTCTCCAACAGGACTCCCTTTCTGCAAGCCTCAGACAAAAATCAAGCCAGTTTGCTGCAGCGTTGTTTACAGTTACATGAAAGGCTATAGTTTAACGGCAGAGCGCATGCTTTGAATGGAGAAGCTTCTAGTTCAACCCTAGGCATCTATGGGCAGGGATGGGAAATATCCTTATTTAAAGCTCCATTGAGCTGCTATACCAGCAAACCACTAGTTGAACTCTATTTCAAGTCTAGAAATGCAGAATTTGTGTCTTCAGACTTTATCACACAGAAGTAATGAACCAGGACACTATTGCACAACATTGTGTAATCTGCATTGTTGGTCCATAAAACCAGTCAATGACCTGATTGTGCCACTGTTTCCTTGTGCAGTGAATCCGGGTACTTCTGTGGTAGCATCTGCTGTGATCCCCTTGCTCCTAAAATATTTCATTCTTTTTCACCAAGGAAGGGAAGCAGCAAGAGGATGGAGTTGTGCTAACCATCTAGAAGTGAGGAGTCACATTGTTGTGGCATCACAATTGTGCAACGCTTGTAGCTGTGTGAAGCCACGTGTCACTGCTATCCTATCCCACTCTATTGTCTTTCATAAGTGGACTCAAGCCTGCGAGCAGTTTTACATTTCAGCAAGGATCTGCTGCCATGTTACTATAGGGAAGTTACTACATAGCAGAACACCTCCTAGGGAGATTGATGCACATCAGTAGAGTCTTGTGCATAAATGGATACTCTGGCCAGTGCCTCAATAGGCATCTTCACAATTCACTAGGAGGGCTCCTTACTGTTTCTGCTGTGTAGTTAAGTATGTGTAAAGTTACTCAACAGAGGTGTAGACTCGTTTTTTGAGAAGCTGACCAAAATTTGTAGGGTTCTTCATATTCTGGATGAAAAGGGTCCACCAACTTACATATATCTGGCAGAGAGACTGAATAGGGCTGTTAAGTAGTGGGTGGCTAACAAGTGTCCACCTACATACCTACAGCTAGACACACAAAAAGATCTTGTGCGGTGCCATCATAATTGTGTGTCCAGATATAGAGCTAGACTATTATCCCCACCCCCACCCCCCCGGCCCCATCTGCTGAATGCTATCCAGGGCCCAACATGAGACAGGTGGGCTTTGCTGGGGAGATTTTTACACCCTCATACGAGTGCTGGGTCTTAACAGTGGTTTGTTTGTTTTTAGTTTGTGCATGGCAAAGCTCTTGATAAATGTCCATATTCATTCAGCCTTTCATTACTAAACATTTAAAGACTCTGTAGTTTTCTGCATAAATAAATACCAGCAGCTGCCAAGTCCTGGGTGGGAACCCTGTTGGTATTGCATACTGGTGGGGAAAGGAGGTAGTGGCAGACAATTCAGATCACTAAGTAGTAACTGGAATCAGTTTGATGGGGGTGAGGGTGTATTTTGGATGAATGCACCCTCCTCTTACTTCGTTCAGTGACTTACGGCAGCTACACTTGCAAGAACTGAATTAATTTCCTTCTTGTTATGCATCCCACCCATAAAAAGTGTAACATTTACCAGCTGCTAGACATTGGAGATTTTAAAATATAGCCAAGTACAAGGGAATAGTCCTTATATCCAAAATGTGACTTATAAAGTCACTAACAGGATGTCAAAATCTGGATTGGAATACAAATGCATTAATGATTAATGTCATCTTTTCCCCCCTCTCAAGAGGTACTGTATATATACAAGTACACAACAATCTTCTCTATATTGGGAATAGCTATGTCTATTGATTTTGGCCACTCCACCAAATGGTGGGAAAATTCAGTTAAATTCATGTTAGAATTTAATTAACAGTGGGATTTTGGGTAATTGGGATAATTAAAAGAATTGAGAGTTTGTTAAGGCTTCTAGGACTTGAAGTCTAAAGGGCCACTGGCAAAAGACATCCTGTGATGATGTTTGAAAAATCTCAATATTTCCTGAGGTAGAAAATGTTACAATTCAAATTAACTTCTGCACTTGCGTTTGGGACAATTGCAGCCTGTGTTTGTACCGGCTGCTTTTGTAATACTTTATTCCTGAGAGAAGCAACTGCCCATTTGACAACCGCACATGTTGCAAAAGGGAACTAGATATTGCATACACCACACAACTGACATTTAGAAGACAGGTTAGCTTACACACACACACACACACACACACACCCATATCCCAAATGGAGAATAAGGAGTTGGGAATTGTTTATACATTTTTTATTTTTTCCATTTACAGTCTGAAGAGTCAAAGTGTATTTGGATACATATGCTAACTTGGTCAGTTTATGTAGAAAAGGCTATAACTTAACAGTCGCATTTAATGAGCCAGAACCAATGATTATTTTAGCTTCTTAATGGTTTCTTCCAGCTTTTCTTTGTTTGCTCCGGAAAATTCATGCACCTGAAATACAGGAATGGCAAGTTTAAAGTTTACAATTCACTGGTGCTTGTTGCAAGGACGGAGAGACTGGAGGCCTTTTAAGGTCATGTTGCACTTCAAAATCATGCCAACTACCATGGTTTAAGACAGTGGTTCTCAACCTGTGGGTCCCCAGGTGTTTTGGCCTACAACTCCCAGAAATCCCATCCGGTTTACCATCGGTTAGGATTTCTGGGAGCTGAAGGCCAAAACATCTGGGGACCCACAGGTTGAGAACCACTGGTTTAAGAAGTCAGACGATTCATATCTTTTTGGTTCCAGATTGCACTGTATATACTTGCGCAGAAATCGACCTCATGTAGGAGTCAAGAAGAGATGTATCCCAAATTGCAGTAATGAAGGAAGCAATGTGACACCTTCCAGATATTGGACTGCAGCTCTCATTGATCCTTCATTGCCGTTTAGCTCCTGATAGAGGAGTTGCAGTCATAAGTATCCCAATGCCTCTTGAGCAGATATTATATTGAGACCAATGATCTGCTCTCACAGAAGGCAGCTTATTTACTAGAAATTTTCATTAATTCATTTCCTGTCTAGCAGGGTTCCCAGCAGTGAATAAGAGACAAATATGGGTATTTTAAAAACAATTTTGAACATGTTTTCAAAGAAAAAACAAATGTCATATAGAACAATATTGTTCTAGCCACAGGAAAGTAGTCAGGAATCAACCCAATAACTCTGGGAAGGATTTCCCAGAATTGGGGTGCCATTTAACCAGGGATATTGCCCTCATTTTAACTGAGGGCCACATTGGCTTGATGATTACCTTCAAGGGGCTATCAGTACTTGTAATGAAAACCTCATAGGCCACATAAGATGACAAGGCGGGCCGAATTTGGCTTGTAGGTCTTGTGTTTAACGTGTGGGTATACTAAATAGAAAGTCTTGCTTTGTGTATTCATTAATCTAGGTTCTCAGAGTGGTAAGGCTTCTGCTGAGAGCCTCAAATTCAGGGCAGATTTATGCAGGAGGAGTTGAATCATCTGACCAGAAGAGACTAGGACCTCACTCTTTAAGAACTGGGGTCCGAGGCTGGAGATTGGCTTTCAGATATGCAGCTATTTAACTCTAGTTTCTAGACCTGCTCAGGCGAGTAAACCTACTTAGGCTTAGAAGTGGGAGTAGGCCAGCTTCAATCTCACTACCAATGCATTTTGTTTAAAAAAGCAAACATATGTGCCAAAGCTAAACATGTTTACCAATTCAGGAATCTCATGAATGCTTACAAAGCCCAGTGCATATCTCAACCCAGTTGTAATGATTGCCGGTTGTAAGCTGCCCTGAGTAAATAAATAAATAACCAACCATTGGCTTGAATGTGTGCTGATTGAACCACATTATTGTTTAAGGGAAGTGATATCATCTTTGCATTTTCTCTTCTAAATATACACAAAACATTGGGTGTTTCTCTGGTCACCCAAACACAGGCACTGGAAATACCTATGTTGCAGACAGGGCTATAAAACTACCTTTACTGCATGTTGTGGTGGAGGGAAACTGCATTATCTAAACTGGAGGTGTCAAACCTGTGGCCCTCCAAACGTTTGGATCTCCAACTCCCAGAAGCCCTAGCCAGAGCTGAAGTCCAAAACATCTGGAGGGCCACATGTTTGATGCCACTGATCTAAACCTATGACTCTACATGAAAAGGTCAACTCTTAAGTTCTTTAAGAAAAATAGACTTCTAAGAAGAACTGTTCCTTCCTGGGTACATCACTCTAGAAATCTATCAAATGGGATGCCACAAACCTGACATTTAAACACAAATACAGCTTTCATTTTTCATTTCCAGGCCATTTACTACTTTTGCCTTCATCCTCTGGAGAGCTGCCATTCACCACACCTCAGAATGCGGTTTGATTACAGCACTGTCTGTGAATAATTAAAAAAAACCCACAATGACCTGCTTCTAAGCATTTTACTCATTACTGGAACAAGTAGACCTCTTCATCCTTTTAACATGGAACAGAGTTCCCATGTGTTCAATGTTCAGGAAAATAATGCTCTGCCAGGATGACGTAAGAGCCAGTGCTCTAGATCACATTAGCAAGGAGAGCACCATAATTTTTCCAGTGCTTGATAAACTGAATGCCTGCTTTTTAACATATAGTAACTAGAGGACTCTCTTTTATATGCATCATGGAAATACAGAAGACTAGAAAGCCTGGGCTTTGTGGGCATGGCTTGGAGTGGAAAGTCCTCTCTCACTATCACTGCTTGCCTGAAGCACATAGGAAGAGAGGGAACGCCTGGCTGACTTGAGATAAGGGATTCTACCCAAGTTATCCTAGCTCCACATTTACAGAGAACAGGGCATAGCATAGCAGAATTCCTCAGGTGTCGTTCCAAGTTCCCCATGGAATATTCAGCTGTAACAATTGGGGCCACGTACCTTTTCCTTGTTTTTGTAAAATTGGAATGTCGGCATGCACTTCACGTCACAGTGTGCGGCAACATCCTAGGAGAGATTAAAAGCATTTTGTCCAGATCAATGCAGCACAGGACATGATTAGCATTCAGGACAAGAAACCTCTTCCAAAAGTCCCCTTTGCCTCTTGGGATTCTGGAAGAGGCTACAGCAATGCAATAAAATTGTTAGTCGTGTTGCATCTGACTGATGTTCTCACTCCCTGTTCTAAACAAACATGGGGAACACGCATGACTTGATCCACTAAATTTAACTCATATGCTTTCAGGTAGAATTGATCCAATTCATATTTTAAAGCCATTCAAATTGACAATCAATGAAAACATACTCCATAGTTAAAGGATAAAACTATACATTGGTCAACACATATTTTGGTGCCTCAAATGTTTCTGGATATATTTGACCTGTTGATTCCAAAAATGGCACCATTTTTACCTTATCAGCTCTATTTTCTGAGATACAGAACATATGCCATCTACCATTCTTCATTCATAGAATCAGAGTTGGAAAAGACCTCGTGAGCCATTGCAGTCCAACCCCGTTCTGCCAAGAAGCAGGAAAATCACATTCAAAGCATCCCTGACAGATGCCCATCCAGCCTCTGCTTACAAGCCTCCAAAGAAGGAGCACCTACTATGCTTCTGGACCATGGCCATACAGCTTGGAAAACCCACAACAACTTGGTTATTCTGGCCATGAAAGCTAGTTATTTCAGTCATGAAAGCCTTCGACAACACATTCTTCACTCTGTTCACTCATAAAAAATAATAACCATATCTAAGAAACTAGAGCTGATTCGGTATACCCAATGCAATTTTCTAAATCAGCACCCCAGATAGCCCCAGGAACAGGTCTAGAAATGAAGACACTAAGAAAAAACTGTTTTTGATTGGGCCGTGTTACTATTATTATGCTTTTCAAGACAAACTAGATTCTGCTCTTTGTTGTAGTTGCACATATATACAGTAATCTCTCCACAGCTGCAAATTAAGTGTTCATGGATTTGAGTATTCATGGATTACTGTATCTTCTAACTCTTCTGCTACCCCCTATCTGGGACCAAAAAAGGGGAAGAAAGTTCTTCCTAGGCATTATTAAGTCCTTCATGGCAAAGGCTAACCACAAGGATCATGCTGGAAGACTAAAAACATCTAGAAAAATGTTATGTCAGTTTAAAAACTATAGTATTTGTGAATTTATTTTAATTTTTAGTATTTACATTTTTCTACTCTAAGTTAATTATTGATGGCAAACTCAAGAATAATTAAATCTGCAAAAGCAGTAGTTCTCAACCTGTGGGCCCCCAGATGTTTTGGCCTTCAACTAACAGTTGGTAAACTAGGTTCTTGTGGGTTTTTTCGGGCTATAGAGCCATGTTCTAGAGGCATTTCTCCTGACGTTTCGCCTGCATCTATGGCAAGCATCCTCAGAGGTGTGAGGTCTGTTGGAAGTAGGAAATGGGTTTATATATCTGTGGAATGGCTGGGGTGGGGCAAAGAGCTCTTCCCTGCTGCAGTTAGGTGTGAATGTTTAGCTGATCACCTTCATTAGCATTTGAAGGCCTGCCTGAGCCTGGGAAAATCTGTTGCTGGGAGGTGTTAATCTGTGCCTGGTTTTTTCCTCTCTGTTGTTTAGCTGTTATAATTTTAGAGTTTTTTTAATACTGGTAGCCAGATTTTGTTCATTTTCATGATCTCTTCCTTTCTGTTGAAATTGTCCACATGCTTGTGGATTTCAATGGCTTCTCTGTGTAGTCTGACATGGTGGTTGTTGGTGTGGTCCAGCATTTCTGTGTTCTCAAATAATATGCTGTGTCCAGGCTGGTTCATCAGGTGCTCTGCTATGGCTGACTTCTCTGGTTGAAGTAGTCTGCAGTGCCTTTCATGTTCCTTGATGCGTGTCTGGGCGCTGCGTTTGGTGGTTCCTATGTAGACTTGTTGGTAAACTGGCTGGGATTTCTGGGAGACGTAGGCCAAAACACCTGGAGACCCACAGGTTGAGAACTACTGCACAAAAGCTTAATGAATGAATGTGGAGAGCCAACTGAGCTACAGTTCCACCAGAATACAAATACTCAAGTCACGTCTGTAAACCTGAGCAGTGCATGCACTCACTGAACTTTCTAAAGAGGATTCTCCAGTTTGCAAAAGATTAGCTGAACACAGCAATGCAATAATTGATCATGCGCCAAATATATGCAGTGGAAGTAATCCCAATTACAACTTATTTGATTTATCAGTGTTTCCAGCCTATTTGAACAGAGGAAAGAAGCAGGCAGACTTTTTTCTGAAACTCAAAGACCTAATTGAGTTAGTTTTGGACACATCCTCCAAATCTCTCCCAGAGTATGTTTTTCTGCCACAAGTTGTGATTGGGGCCAATATACCCCAATTCTGACCAGAATCCTGTCATTCACTGGATAGAACTCCAGGCAACTAAGTGAATTCTGTAAAAAGAGCACATGGGGTTCCTTTTAATGTTTATTGTGTATTTATATGAAACCCATTTACAACTCTGTCCCATGTTTGCAAAACTTCCCTTACTGGTCCTACATGGAGTCATCACTGCCAAACGTCAAAACTCAAGCTACACAACTGCTTTCCAACCTTGACTGAGTTAGCTGTGCTGATGATAGAAAACAGAGTGTTGCTTGCTCAAGAAGGAAACTTTACAAGCATTGCTCCCAAACTGAAAAGTCTTGCTTGACAAGGTAATTGAGCACTTAAAGCATGCCTCACACATTCAACTCAGTTTTATAACTTCTTGGGGAGATGGGTGCATTTTTTAAACACTAGGTTAAGTTGCTACTTGTATTTCCATTAGTGAAACTAGATGCAGGAAAGCAGTGAAGACTTCATTTTCTAGGTATGCAAATCAACCCTCATCTCTGTCATTTTAGAAGAGATCAGTATTGTAACACATGCTTCACAAAACAAATAATGCCTGATTCAAACATTTAGGCATTTTTGCTCCATTCTTCAACTTAAGAAGAGCAGTTGACAAAGACCAATAATTAGACAGCTGTTGTCTTCAAGCTTCGAAAATAAAAGACATAACTGAAGTAAAAAAGGAACTGGGAGAAAAGAGAAAGAAAAACAGGAGCTAATTCAAATCCCCGGTATCTTTTGTTAGGACTGGTAGGATTATCCTTGTTTAAATTCTGGTGGTGTCACTAGTAGGCAGTGAAAACAATACAGAGTTAGACAGATCAGTAGGGTCAGCATATGCAAGATATTACCAAATGCATTCAGGAAAAGTATTTCAAACAAACAAAGAGTAGTTGTATTGTCAAAGGCTTTCATGGCTGGAATCACTAGGTTCTTGTGGGTTTTTTCGGGCTATAGAGCCATGTTCTAGAGGCGTTTCTCCTGACGTTTCGCCTGCATCTATGGCAAGCATCCTCAGAGGTGTGAGGTCTGTTGGAAGTAGGAAAAATGGGTTTATATATCTGTGGAATGGCTGGGGTGGGGCAAGGAGCTCTTCCCTGCTGCAGTTAGGTGTGAATGTTTAGCTGATCACCTTCATTAGCATTTGAAGGCCTGCCTGAGCCTGGGAAAATCTGTTACTGGGAGGTGTTAATCTGTGCCTGGTTTTTTCCTCTCTGTTGTTTAGCTGTTATAATTTTAGAGTTTTTTAATACTGGTAGCCAGATTTTGTTCATTTTCATGGTCTCTTCCTTTCTGTTGAAATTGTCCACATGCTTGTGGATTTCAATGGCTTCTCTGTGTAGTCTGACATGGTGGTTGTTGGTGTGGTCCAGCATTTCTGTGTTCTCAAATAGTATGCTCTGTCCAGGCTGGTTCATCAGGTGCTCTGCTATGGCTGACTTCTCTGGTTGAAGTAGTCTGCAGTGCCTTTCATGTTCCTTGATGCGTGTCTGGGCGCTGCGTTTGGTGGTCCCTATGTAGACTTGTCCACAGCTGCATGGTATACGGTAGACTCCTGCAGAGGTGAGAGGATCCCTCTTGTCCTTTGCTGAACGTAGCATTTGTTGGATTTTCTTGGTGGGTTTGTAGATTGTTTGTATGTTGTGTTTCCTCATCAGCTTCCCTATGCGATCAGTGGTTCCCTTGATGTATGGCAGGAACACTTTTCCTCTGGGTGGATCTTCATCTTTACTCTCGTGGCTTGTTCTTGGTCTTGCAGCTCTTCTGATGTCTGAGGTGGAGTATCCATTGGCCTGGAGAGCCCAGTTGAGGTGGTTCAGTTCATCTTGGAGGAGGTGGGGTTCGCAGATTCTTTTTGCACGGTCTGCCAAGGCTTTAATGGTGCTTCTTTTTTGACTTGGGTGATGGTTGGAGTTTTTATGTAGATATCTATCTGTGTGTGTGGGTTTTCTGTAGACGGTGTGACCCAATTGTTGATCTGGTTTGCGGATGACTAGGACATCTAGAAAAGGCAGTCTTCCTTCATTTTCTTTTTCCATGGTGAACTGGATGTTTGGGTGGATGCTGTTAAGATGGTCCAGGAACCTGTTGAGTTCTTCTTCTCCATGGCTCCAAATGGTGAAGGTGTCATCCACATATCTGAACCATATCGTGGGCTTTTTGGTTGCTGTTTCCAGGGCTTTTTCTTCAAAGTGTTCCATGTAGAAGTTAGCTATGACCGGGCTGAGAGGGCTCCCCATAGCTACTCCATCTTTCTGTTCGTAGAATTCATTGTCCCACTGAAAGTAACTGGTGGTAAAGAGTAGTTGCTGTCCAAAGATTCAAACACATAATTAGTTCTGTTTCACTCTCCCTTCAGACACTTAACAAGCTTTGTAACAAAGCATGGAGTATTGCCTTTGATCAGGTTCATCACTCAGAGGCATCACTCAGAGGCATCACTCTGAAGCTTACCTGAGCATCATCCACATCAATTTCATAGAACATGACATCTGGATACTTCTCACAGAGACTCTGTTAAGAAAACAGATAAGTTATTCATGCAAAACTCACATACTTTGGAATCATCAAGAGTGCAGCAGTAACCTCTATTACTATGAGTATTTAATGCCAGCAGCACAACTTTCTGGCATCCTCCTCCCAAATTTCAGCCATGTTGGCTGATGATTCTGGGAGCTGTTGTTCAAAAAATTCTTAGAGCATGATTGGAAAATACATATTTTGCATTTTTGTTCACTATGGTAACATTTTTCTTCTCATCTAAGGATGGATGATGGAGCTCTTCCTTGCTCTGAGCTAGATAAACAGTGTGCCAGGAATTTCCAACCAGCATCTGTCAAGTCAGAAACCACAGAGCTAGGGAAAAGAGGTGGGGAGCTTACAACCATAATTTCCTGCCTTAGTGATTCAAATAAACAATAAATTTGGCCCTCTGAGTAACTAAATGCATCATCTTGCTTCCTGCCCACACCTGTTAGAGAGGTGAAATCTCTCAACCTCAGGAAGTAAAAGGTTGACTGTTGTTTCGCTGTACCACTTCCAATCCAGTGAAGTGAGCCAGGCAAAGGGTTTTCCCCATTTCTCCCAGGTAGAGATTTAAAAAAAATAATGCAGCAGAGAAAAAGTATTACAGCTCCAGCAAATTTTGTTCTGATTAGAGGCCAGCCAAGAGAGAGTAATAAAATACATTAGCGTGAGGCTTCCTGGTACACTACAGACAAGTGTGTAATAGTATACTTATTAGTATAATAAATCTTTTATTCTCTGCGCAACAGGAAGAAAAATTAAGGCTTCCAATTTTCTTCCTGCCAGCAGAAGAAAATAGAAGGCGAAAAGAAACCTTATCCTGCTCTTAAAAAGGTTTCACAAAGTTTTCTGAGTTTCAATCAAATTTCTACTCTACTCATGAACCCACCTAAACAGGGAGTGAAGATAGCAACTAGGTACTGAAAAGACATAGTAACTATTGTCTAAGTCTCAAGTCTTGTTTTCAACTAAAGCAAAGCCTTGGTAATGCAGCCATTTTTTGTTTCCTTGTGCAATACATTTTGTGTCCATCTCCAAAGTAAAAAAAAAGGCAATAAAATGTCCCTTTTCCAATTGGAGTTTGTTTTAAATAGTGTTAAAGCAATAGGGATAATGCCAAAATTTTATTCTGCTAGTGCCTGATAGGTAATTGGTAACATATCGACTGTTAAACAAATTTAGGGACATGGATTAACTTGAAATCAAAGATAGATGGTCAACATACATGTAACATTCCACCATTTAAATTAATCTCAGCCCACATGACAAAACAGCTTTTAGGTTTTATTTCATGGATACAGTACTTGATTAAAGCTTTGTGAAATAAACAAATATCAGCCATATGCTAGAGAAAATTGATACGCTTTTCCATATCTATTCCATTGTTAAAGCATTTTGGTAAAAAAAAACTTTCGGGATCAAGCAAAAACAACCAATTCTAGGACTGCAGTATAATTTTCAATGGCATGGCTCCCACTTTTTCTGAATGAAAATAAGTATCTTGCCCATAAAAATCTTCTGTTTTGAAGTGACAGTTTGAAGTGGAATGCTCTCCCATTTTGTTTACATACCAATCTAAAATCTTCCCTTTTTAGCGTTTTAAAATTGTACTGCTTATCTTCTATTGCTGACTCTTAAACACTTAATGCTTTAGGATTTGATACCATCCTGGTCAATCTAGTTGTTTAGGTTGTGACTTTGCTGACTGCTTTGTATTTTTACATTGACTCATTTCCCCAAGGCCAGTATACAAAACACAAAAATCCTAAATACAAAAAGGAGCCGTGGTTCCAGCCAGAACTGGATTACTCTCCTTGTTGCAAACTTAAAAATTTGCAAGTTCATACAGAGAAAGATGAAATTGCAGAAATTACTCTAGACAATGAACTGGGAGCTACTGATGGGAAGAGCACCCGATGGAGGAAGTCTGGTTAAGTTTTCAAGGTGCCATCACACTGTCCACAAATATTTCTGTTCAGGTGTGTGTGACAAAAACACCATATAGGTCACATATAGCAAGTTCCATGCTCTTATCTTATTATGGTTGAACCCAAATGGACCTGCCTTTTTAGACTGTTTTAATTGCCGATTGAGAAAAAGTAAGAAAAGGTGTGGGAAATGTCAGTTATATTGCTGTTCCCCAAGAGGCTGCATGTTTTAAAGATGCGGACCAATCAGTGGCTGTTTCCACAGCTTCTGTCAAGTTAAAGTGGGGAGTCACAATTAAATACTCTGGTCAAGAAAAGAGTTTACTTACATGGTAGAAGGGCTTGATCATTTTGCATGGTCCACACCATGTGGCAGAGAAATCGATTACTACGAGTTTCCCGGCAGCGTTTTCTAGTTCTGTTTGGAATTCCACCTGCGTGGAAGAAAAGAAAGAAAAACAGACAAATGGAGAAGAGCAATTTTGCAACTAGTTATGATATAGCCATTTCCAGGTAAGTGGCCTATTGGCTATTTGCAGGAAACAAGAGTCTTTCAAAACACTGGATGGTATAACCTTCCACAGAATATTTCCCTCTTTATCAGACATGAGCCTAAGGTGATCCTTCTGTTTAGAAGCAACTCTCATGATCACACCAACAAGGCAGGCCTGTAAAAAAACCATGGCAGATAATACAGATAACTATTAATGTAAACTGGCCAACACACATTTTGGTGCCTCAAATGTTAGATCTGTTTTGGGTTTATCTAACCTGCTGATTCAAAAAATGGCACCAGTTTCCTGCATCAGCTCTAGTTTTTGAGGTACACAATATATTCCATCTACCAATCTTCATCTACTTCCCTATAACAAATCATGAAAATCATATTTAAGAAACAAGAGTTGCTGTGGCCTATCCAATTTTCCGAGTCAGTACCCCAAATAATCTAGGAATTGGGGGGAGGGGTGCGGTATCTGCCATGGTGATATTCCATTTAGCCTTGGGATTATCACTATGGCAGATACCGCACCCCTCCAGTTTAGAGAGGGGCATTCACATCCAAATAGTTCTAATGCCTCACCAAATTACAAAACCCAGGATTTAATAGGTTGCAGACTTGAGAATAAAAGATAATCACAGTTTAATATTTGTGTAGTGTGAATGGCCTACTTGTCTATGCCAGATTCTGTGAGGTGACTGAAGAAAAAGATTTACAAGCCCAATAAAAAGTAAAAACCAAGATAGCTGTTGTGAGGGAACCACTCTCCAACTGGACTTGGAAAGGGTTTCTTGGACTACAATTCCCAAAATCTCCCAATCACCAAGACCATTAGCTATTCTGGCTAGGAGTTCTGAGTTACAGTCCTCAAAAGGAACATTTGGATACGTATTGGAAAACCAGAGGCAATTTTGGCTCACTTTAGAGTACATAAAATAAATGTCACCAACAAGTTTTAAATAGAGTTCAAAAACATTAATGGCATTACTTTTACTATCATTTTTTTAATCCAGGTAGTTTTGTAATGGAAAAAATAACATTTGTAGATCTGCATTTAAAAATTATATCCCTGACGCATGGAATTTAACTAATAGTAGTCGGGATTCTGAATGCTCTTAATGTTACCAAAATACTTGCAGTCCATGGATAGAAATATAAAAAATATCCACCTATTCAGTGTTCAAAAGAACATTCTGCTTTAACTACACATGAAGGTGTATTTTAGAAATGTCAGCTTCCAGAAAAATGAGTTCTTGAAAGTAACTTGTTGTTTTTGATTCCCTTTTCTCTCTCCTTTTTTTGGGTAACCATACTTTAGAAAGAGAAGGAAAAAGCAGGAAAAATAGAACAGCAGACAAAGAAATCCTTCCTCCTCTTGCCAAAAGGACATGTAAGCACTGTTAATCTTGTCAAAACTTCATTATCATTTTGACATACTGTCTTGCCCGCTTTTGACCATAGCAATTAGTCTGGCTTTGTACTACAGATTATTTTGTAAGCATCTTGTCCATACATGCCTAATAGCATCTCTCCTTAAAAGAACTTCCCAGCCTGGAAGATATCCTTATGAGCTACAGGCAAGTGGCAAAAAAGTTTAACCATATGACATTTGCAGAAATTGTATGTTTGGAGTAGCTCTCAGTACACCAATCCTAGACCATGATCAGCACAGAACATCAGAGAGAATGACCCCTACTGAGAATTGATAATTTTTGTGTGTTTGGGGGGGAGGAGAGATGAGCAAAATTACCAAACCAAGGAAACCAGGCTAAAACCAGGCTCTCATCTGATGTCTATATATTTGGAAATAAGCATAATCAAAATCATTGGGTCACAATATCAATGGAAAGCAATTAGTTCACAACCAAAAATCTGACTACATGACATTTATTATTTATTATTATTATTGTTATTATTTCTATGGGCAGCTGTTTCCAAAGATGCAGTTTAACACTATGTTAACTGCCATGGCTCAATGGCAGTGAATTATGGGAGTTTCACAGTGTCTCTCAACTATTGCTAGTGCCTCACCAAATTACAAGTCCAAGGATTTCAGAGCCTTGAGTCATGGCGGTTAAGGCTGTATCAAATTGCATTAATTCTACAGTGGAGATGCATCCCAAGAGTAACTTTGACTGGCTGGGTGTTGATGTTTTATTATCATTGGTGCATTTCAACTGTATTCTTAGTTTTTATGTTCAACCAGTATGTCTTCTTGTTTGACAACATCACTGTTAGCTGGCATAAATCTCCCTTCCCTAGCAAAAAGACAGGGTATGAAATCAGTAAATAATAAATGTGGAATAAAGTAACATTTTAGCCTGTTCTCTTAATGCACTTAGTCAGAATAGTCTCCCGCTTGCGCTCTCCCACAAACAAAGGGAATCTAAAGAGACAGGGGGAGCTCTGGGAGTGACGGAAATATAATTCTCAAACAGGAGTGATCAACGTCAGGTAACTCAGGGACTTATTTGTTGTCCACAGAATATGCAGCGAGTTGCACAAGACTTGGAAGTACAGCACAAAAAATTAAAAACCAAGGGCCTACTTAGAAGAAAGGTTTCAGAGTCTGGGCAGCCCTGAAATCTAGTGAAGGCTTTCAAGGAACAGAGATATGGCTTTGGAGCAGAGAATGGATATTTGAGAGAGAGCACTGACCTGCAAAAACAGCCTTGGACTATGAGTAGTAGAACAAAAAACAAACAAACAAAAAAACAGCAGTTCACAACCTTCCCTCCCTGGATTTGACATCATTTATAACTCCTTGGAAAATGTACAGATGGGTCAATCTGTCCCCTTCACCACACTACACCTAGAAAAATCCAAAGGTAGCTTGTGATCAGAGTGAGAGTAATCCACCTTGGTTTGTGTTGGGATACTTTCAGTCTGAAGACTGGCTAGCAGATCTTGGGTTGCATTCCCATGGGCTGTCTAAGTGCATGCACTTAAATTTCCGACAAGTATTGTAGGTCAATAACCATACCCATTATTCTGTGGAGAATATCCAAACTGCTTCCCTGCAGTGAGGCGTGTCTGATCTTGTCTTCCCGGAAGGGTTCAGGGTTACCCAGAAAGCAGCACATTTAATGGAGGAGAGTCTGATACCTCTAATTTGAACAGAGAGGATCCCCTTTACTGGACGTTTCCACTTTCTGTCAGAAAGTATAAATGCCATGGCACTAATAAATTAATGAGGGATATCCTGGCATTCTGCCTCTAATCCACCTCTGGTTTAGCAGCACCAGTCAATGGAACTAATAGCACAAGTGAATGCAAGTCCATGGTCTTCTTGTGGATGGAGAACCACCTACTACAGAGATAGATAACCCAATGCTTTCTACATGATTGGGACTACAATTCCCATAATCATCTTTTGTCTGAGGTTTATGGGAATTGTTTTCTAAAGCACCTGGTTGCAGGTCTGGCACCCATTGAGCTGTATTTCCATCATTAAGCAAATATAGATAAAACAGCTTCCAGAAGCAACATTAATTTGAGCTTAAGTTAAGTCTTTAGTCTTAGTATGCTACAGATGAATGAGAATAATCTTTCTCAAAGCTTGCACAACCTTGGCCTATAGTTCAAAAATCATCTGGGGCAGGAAGCTTTCCACAGCAATTTTTAAATATTGATGACTGCCTCCAAAAACTTCCTTTTGCATATAATTAGTACAGTGGAAGAATACAACTGGCTAGGTTAGTTTTTTTCTTTCTTTCCAGGTAATGATTCCCAGGATGAAGAGAGATTATATACAATGTGTTATGTAAATAGCTTCCAGTTATTTATTTTTCTCTTTTAATTTCAATTCAAGCACTTCTTGCTAAAGGAGGAAAAAAACTTGTTTGATAGCTGCTATGACATGTTTTTTATGGTTAGGTGTCAGGCAATTTAAAGAATCTTAATACTTTTTAGAAATTTGAAATCACAGAAGATACCAAGAGCTATGATGGGGATCAGTTTGGTATAACTGTTGTGTATCTATATGTTGCTGGGCTATAGTTAGGATCATACTAAACACTGACAAGTTAGGGATCTGAAACAACTGCTCATTCTAGAGATGTGGCACATATAATCCACTACCAGCCATGAAATACATTGTTTGATAATCTGGCCTTCACTCTATATTCAATTACTCTATCCAACAAGGTTGTTATCTTTCTCACTTCTTACTTCTTCTTCTTGTTGTTGTTGTTGTTGTTGTTATCCCACTTTTTATCTCACCAAAGGAGACTCAAAGCTGCTTCCACCACCTTGCGTTTTTAAAGGAAAGTCAGAATGAAAATGTAACAATAAACATGCAAGTCTAAAACCTAATGTCAGATGTAACTGAATTAGATTCATTGAATCAATGTTGGGAACGTCACTAGGGCAAAATTTACATGCTGTACTATATATACTTATGTATAAACTAAGGGCAGGTTTGGAGTCCAAAATTACAGATTTAAGCCATGTTAGAAAGAATACAAAGCTTGGATGCTTGTTTTAGATTCTCCCTGAAAGGACTAACCACTTCATCACACTAGGGAATTAATCCATTTTAAATCCAGATTCTGTCTCCTGCAGAATTCTGGGGGTTTGTAGTTTAGTGACGCTGTTTAAAGCTCCTCCCTAAACTACAAACACCAGAATTCTGGAGGAGGCAGCCACCAGATTTAAAGTGGATTCATTCTCTGGTGTGATTAAGTAGTAAGCCAGAGTTTCTCAAACTGTGCTCCTCCAGATGTTTTGGACTTCAGCTCCCACAATTCCTAACAGCTGGTAAACTGTCTGGGATTTCTGGGAGCTGAAGTTCAAAACACCTGGAGGAGCAGTTTGGGAAACACTTGTAAGCTCTCACCTTTTCTCATTCTTAGAGAAGGAGATGGCTCGTTTTTGGATATAGGAGTTAAGGCATAGAACCATCTTCTTTCAGACCCAACAGATCCAGTAGCAGTC